ATTTGACCTCTACATTTTATCTTTCTACTGCAAATACTTCTAGTAGTTATCAGTACATATCACGCCAAGCTGCAAACACCTGAATAATCGCCTGCGAGCACTTATTCTTACACTTAGAGCTTGTCTTAAGTGTATTTATATTTTAGAAGCTTCTCAGTCTTCTCTAACTCAAAGTGCTCTGTATGAGAATTATTATAATGAATTCTCAATAACTTCTAATATACTGCTCTGCTATGAGAGATAAAGACTGAATTATTCAGCAGTAGAAGTTCACATTCTTCTAGTTATCAGTGACTTGATTTCTTAGCAGTATTATTCTACTCAGAGTCTGTCTCTTTTAAGTTCAAACTGAATTCTTTCTTCTTCAACTTTTGAATTCAAGCTGCAGTAGAGACATCTCTCTTCTATAACTTATTAATGAATTTCAAAAGTAGTCAGATTGAAAGATTGTAGACTGTTTCATTCTTTATCAATTCAATGATTGTAAGACATGATATAAGAAGCTTATAATCTTCAGTGTCAGTCTCTCACAGAGACTTAGATTCTCTTTCATCTTCTATACTAAGTTACACAGCTGTCTCTTCAGCACTGTTTCTAAGCTTTAGAGAATCTTAATTCTCTGCAGTCAGCTTCTTCTACAGTGATGACAGAGGTTCTTTTATAGAATTCTTCTTTATATTAATGATATTATAATCAGGCTATCTAGACAGTGTATCAGTGAGATTAAGCTGATCTGAATAATATCAGATATAGAAATCATACTCTGAAAGCAGCTTCATTCACCTGGCTTAACATTCTGTCAAGCTCTTTGTTGTCAAGAAATAACACAGATTTACATAATTAGTGAGAACTTACACTGAGTATTTACTACTCTGAAGATAATATTATCAGATCTTAAAGAATTCAATAATTATTAACATCTTCTAATTATGAATATCATATCTTCTCTGCATGAGTAATAACTTCTTGAAGAAGAAGATCACTGATCTTCATTCATAGTATCTTATAGACTCTGTGAAAAAGTCTTCTTTCACAGACAATTCATTGTCTGTTTTCTCAGAGATGATTATTCTCTGATTCTTTCAACATTGAAAGATCTTCAGTGTCAACTGTGAAAAGATTTCACAGATCTCATTTCTGAATGCATCAGTCTCACACTGACTGAGTAAATCAGAATTAAAGTGATTCAGTATTATAATATCTGTGAAAGCTTATTTCAATTTCACAAACACCTGTGTGATGTCTTGAGTGAGAATAAACAGTTCTGTTTTTCTGTCTTTCACACTTCTCTTTAACAGATCTGTAAGAGAAGCAGTAATCTGTGAATATGCATAGATGAATTGTCTGTAGAAATTCATAAATTCTAGAAACATCTACATCTCGCGGTATATCTGCAGTGCTGGCCAGTTCTCAATAATGAAGACCTAACTTCTGTTCATTGAAATGCTATTCACTTTAATAATATAGTCTAAGAAATCAATCTTCTGCATGTAGAATGAGCATTTTTCAGTGTTTATATAGAGTTGATACTGTCTCAAGCAACTCAACACTTCTTGAATATAAGTATCATGTTCTTTCTCTGTTTTTGAGAAGATTAGAATGTTGTTCAAGTATACTATACAGAAGACATTAACAAGGCCCTGCAGTGTCTCATTTATATAGATCTGAAAGATGACTGAAGTGTTACAAAGATCAAAAGATAAAACAAGATATTCAAAATTGCTATACTTGATATAAAAAGTCATTTTTTAAATATCATCTTTATTAACTCTGATTCTATAATAGACATTCTGTATATCAATCTTTGAGAACATCTTTGCTTCAGATAATCAATTAATCATCTTATCAATTAATAGTAATGAATAGTAATTCTTAACTGTCATCTTATTAAGATCTCTATAGTCTATACATAGACATAGTCTATCATTCTTCTTGAGTACAAAGAGTATAGATGTCTCTGCTGAACTCTTTGATAAATATATTCAGTTCTTTAATTGTACTTCTTTAAGATATTTACACAGAACATTCAATTTCTTTACAGATAAGTTATAAAGAGATCTGTACAGTGCTGTTGTACTGTCTTCAAGATAAATCTTATATTATATCTTGATATCAGAAAACTTCACTACTTCTCTTTCTGAAAAGACATTTTTAAAATGTGTAAAGAGATATTGTATATATCTGTCTTTAATAACAGATACTGCTGCTAATCTTACAGTGAGAATAATGACTTCTTTATCTATTCTCAAGTCTCAATTATCTGCTATACAGTATATTGACTCAATCTTTTTCTCAAGATTCTTCTGATGAAACTCTTCAGATTTCTCTATCACTGTCTCTTCATTAGTGAGACAGTATCACTACATCTGAGTGACTCAGTTAATAAGAGAATTATTTTCTCTCAATCACAGAAGATTTAGAATAATGTTCTTATCTATAATATTAACTGCATGAAGAAGTGAACTGCTCTTTTTAAAAATTTCTTCTAAGTCTGTGATTATACACTTTGCTTGAATTATGTCAAAACAGTGACATTTCATTTCATCAGTAAATTTTATATAATCTGATAAATCTATCTTCTTTCAATTCTTTATCAAAGAAAAGAAATAGAATATGAAGTTAACATTCACTCTGAAGTTAAGTAAGCATCTCACTAGTATCTTCTCATTCAGAGTATACATTGTGATCATAACATGAACTCAGAGATATGAGAATTATTAATTCTTTTCTTTCTCTTCTTTATCTTCTGTGAATACATTTATCAGAAGAGGAGTTAACTTTGAGAAGATATCTTCTCAGTTTCTTTTCTTCTTCAGCTTCTTATAATCACTGACATAGTGATCATCAGCTTCACAGTTAAAACAGAGATCTTTATCAAATCTTTTTTAATATTTCTTCACAGTAAGTGAAGAATTAGAATACTTGAAATTCTTCTTTACTTTCTCTGCACTGAAGCTGTCATGATGTTGTTTAGATTCTGTCATTAATTGCTTAGAAGAGGTCTTATTAATCTTTTTCTCAGAGAATTGATTATTCAAATAAATTCAGAAAGTCAGGTTGATAAGCTCAGTATAATTAATTAATGAACTCTGATATTATAATATTATTATTCACATCTTATGAGTCAGCTTTGTGAGATAAAGCTGTATTTTTAATTGATTTAAATCATCAGCTAATTTCTCTCAATATTCTTCAAATCTTGTATTAAAATTAAAAGAATTCTCATCATTTTATTAATATAATGAGTTGAATCACTGCATCACTGTGAAGCTGTAATTACAGTGATCTTTGATTTAATTCAGTAGAAAGTTCTTGAATTCTTCTCAAGTTATAACAGTATTGATACACTCAAGCTCTCTCTTCTTAATGACTCAAGTAGTCACAGAGATGTCTTCAAGAAGGTTGACAGTGTATATTACTTATATCTCATAAGTATTATACTGACTCAGATTAAGGCAGAATTTCTGTTCAAGAGTATAAATAAGACTGTGAAATTCAGACAAGATGTTTCTCTTGTATCTCAGTGAATCTCTGATCTTAATCTCTCTATCTCTATAATGAATGTAGGTGTGTAGAGGCTGCAGTGATAACAGAGTGATTGAAGAGCTTATATTAAAATATACAGTGAGTTCAGAAATCTCAGATTTCTGCTGAGATAGAGATGTACACACTCTAGAAAATGATGTAGTATTTCTCTCAGAGAATGAGATCAGATCAGTCTCAGTGTGAGTATATAAGACTATATTAATCTGTTAGAGCTTGACTGATTTAAATATGTAATCAGATTAAGCAATTTGAATTGTAACATAACAGAACTGAAGTGATGACTAGTTAGTAATATTATATAGAGATAGTTGTTTAAGAAGCTGTATAAGTAAGCTTGACTATCTTGCTTGAATAGTGAGCTCATAGACTACAGAGTTATTACAAGAATATCACAGATATGATACTTAGTATACTAAGAAGATTGTATGAGATACACAGTAACTCTTGTATATATTTCAGTAGAAGAAAAATGAATTACTGACTTTTTTAATGAGAAGTCAGTATCTAGCTATTCTATATAGATAATGAACAGATACTCTTCTCTCATTTCATAAGTGAGAATAGCTGAAGTGATATCTCAGCAGCATCTTATTGTTAAGAAAGAGTAATCTGCTGACCTCATATAGAAGTGAGGTTCTTATATTCATTAATCAGATCTTTCTATGATATATCTGAATGATATCATAGAGTGATTGAAAACCGGTTCAGTCAGTCTGCAGAAGAGATGAAATCATCCGCATGAAAGTGATGAGTTATGTGAAACCGCAGCAGAGTCTTGGCGCGGTCAGGAGCGTGACAACAGCTTAAATTTCAGAAATCTGAGATGAAATTAATATTATCTTCAGTATAAGCAATGCTTACATCTAATCTGTTCAAACTCTCATTTTTTAAGTTATCTGAGTAAATTAAAAATAGAGTCTTTTATATTAATTGTAGAGATCTTCTTTAAATGCTGTTTATATTCTCTCTCTTTAGATAGTTCACTTATTTATAAGTCTATGAATGATTTCAGCTTTTCCCTTTAGAGAGATATCTTCTTTTATTATATTATTATACTATAATTGAAAATTAATAGCTTTATAAAATGCTTTTTGAAATTTATTAAGTGAATGAGTTTATTGAGTGATATATTATATTAATTAATAAAGTTAACTAGTTTATTGTAAAATATATAGTTAACTGTTTACAAACTTTATTTTTCTACAGCTCTGTACTCTGTAAATTTTTAAATAATAAGCTTTGTTTAATTACAAATTGAATGAATATGATTGATGTGTGTACATGGTAACACTAGTATAAAATACTCAAAAATACTCATTTGACTCAAATGTCACTATAGGCTGCTGTAACAGCGTTGACTACTTGTCACTCAAACAACTTCATATACAGAGTAGAGATGTTGAAATAAAGTGAGGATCGTGCGTTTTAATGACGTCAGGAGGCGAAATGTTTAGTTACACCCAGCCCTACAAAATTCACAACATCAGCATTGTCAGCAAACACGTTTCCATGTCCAGTGAATAGAGATCCGTTCAAAGGTACGATAGCATAGCAGAGGAGGGGAGATATCGCCACAAAGTAGCACAAACTAACCTTTTCCTTTAATTTCGCATGGTAGGCAGAATCGCGGTCCTTACGGGTTATATGGCTATCCCTCGAGCTTGATGTTGAAAAAATGCTCCCTTCCCTTCGTTGGAATCTTGACGGGGGCACCTTAGCTGCGTCTATATCCAGGATAAATACTCAATAGCGTTAGTCGATCTGTTGTGCTCCCAAATTTTCTTTCGTTCAAAATCTAACGGTTACGGACGAGTGCGGTAGTTTAAGAACATATAATACTCTCTTCATCATTATCTCGGAGGAGGGCGTCCTTTGGTTTCTAGAAGAAGCTTAGAAAGCAAATGATCTCCTCCTCTGAGCGAATAGGGTGGTGATGAAAGTCCAGAGCATTACCATAAACATAGGCGGGCTGTGATCTTTGACAACGACAAAAGAACTATCCTACGTACCCCATTCCTTGCTCATACGTCTATCAATCGCAGTTGGGGAAGTGGCGCTATCCCTCTCGGCAGATACAGACCTGGCAAATGGATCGTTGTCATGCGTCCGTTGGCTGGCGAAAGGATCACTTCGAGTTTCAGCTGGTTCGCTTTTTGTGGGGTGTAGCCTTTCCTGCTTGGTGGGGTCTGCAGCTTCTGGAAGATAAGGTAACAGTTAGTATATTTGACCCGCAAAAGCTTCAACAGACAGTCATGTTTCGTCTTTAGAATGGTAGATTGAGACGGGAAGGGGAGAATCATACCGCCCGTTCTCGACGAGTAGTTGGTAGTCATGTGAGGGTCAAAACTAGCCATCAAATCTCGAGGGGCAATAGAATATGCCTTGGGTCGTTGAAGGGGTATCTGATATATGAGAATGATATGCGATATCCGGCTCTTCTTATTATTTTAAAGGGTTTGGGAATGGAGGACTGTGAATTATTATATAAGAGCTGAGGGGTAGACTAATATTTATATGTTCGTAAGCTGATGATAAGGAGGTATTTGGACACGTGCAATGAACAGCTCGGAGGCGAGAAATAGTGCCAGTACCAAACTTTCCAATGACTTCACAGACTTAAATAAGGCATAAACCGCGCAAAGGTCCCAAAACTCAGGGGCTACAGGAGGAAGAGACCAAGGTTACCAACGCCGCTGGTGCCACTACTCAGTCTACCAACTAGAATGCGCAGCACGCCCCTATAAGGCGGCAGCCAAATACTTGAAGGAAGCGGGGATAGCAGGTAGGGGGTCTGGATACAGCTGGAGTGCTGGGATATACAAATAGTCACAATCAACAATCCCATACGGGTGCAAGTGTTGCATGTAGAGTACATGGACCTGTACATTACATTCTCAAGTATGTATGTATGTACTGTCCATACATATATAACCACCTTTCAGCCGACTCGTCAGCTGTGTACCGTACACCCGTGGATATATTTTATTTGGTACCAGTACATCTCACAGAGCAAAGATCTGGCACGTGCATTTCTTTCATCAACTGCGGGGTGGTAAAAAGCAAAGAGAAAGACGCGCCTAGCCCCGAAAAGGTGCATTTCAACTTTGGCAGAACCTTTGGCTGCCAGTGAGCCGGAGCTGCAACGTATATGAGTCATGCTCATGCTGTTTGCTCGTTGGCTGGTCGAGTGGCGAAGAGAGAGACAAGGTAAATAAACATGCTGGTGTCAGCAGGGCTACCATAACTAGTTGTAACAGAAGAGCTAGGTGAGGTTTTATCCCTGCCATTAACATCTGAAAAATCTTTTCAAACTGTCGAATTAGCAACTGAAATGAACCTCTCCGGTTGTGTGAATGAGATATATGTCGAGTGTCAATCAGTTAGTTGTATCATATGGATGGTGTCTAGAACCATCGAGCGCACATTTACTGCGGAACGGCTTTTGGGGATGTTCATCTGAGGAAAGATTTGCGTTTTTGACACTCTTCACGACAGCTTTCTCCAGGTTCTTAGTAGGCGAGCCAAGCTATAATTAACCGATAAGGGATTTCAGTTCAACATCTTCAAAAGCCCTGACCACCCAGCTGCCCCTTGAGAAGTTGAGAGAGAGTCAACCATCTCCCACCTTCTATCTCGGACGTTGATCCAGTTTGCCTAACATGGGTGCGGGCATCATGTGCAGACAAGTGGCTGAGCTGGCGCCTGTCGAGCGTTGGATGGCCGACTGGCTGGTTGAGCAAGACAAGTGCTGGAAAGCAGGAACGCAGGAGGCTAAGCATCTATGGGAGGGAGGATTGCATCATATAGAAAGTGAAATTATAGTTCTTTCTCTAAAGTACCTAACATGATGGGAGGTATGTATATACGGGTGGTTTGGAGCAAACTCCAAATAAAAACAAAACAAATTCTCGAAATTGTCTAGATGAGGAAAAATTGTGCAATGATCAACCTTTGTTGTACAACAAGACAGCTCCGCAGGAATCAGCGCCGGCTCTCCGGCTCTCCGACTCTCCATAGTCAGTGGCAAAACGGCAACCCTCCCCCGTGGCTTGGCTTAGTCGAGAGTATTATCGTCGTCCACAACATCGGCCTTGGCTACTGCTTCATTGGCGTTGGGGTGTTCATGGCTTTGTTCGGGGCAAGGTTGGGGCTGGGGTTGAACAGGGGTGTTTGAAGGGAATGGCTGCTGTGGTACTGGTGATGGAGGAGGATGTTGTTCTTCGGGTTTGAAAAGGAATATCTCAGCAAAGAGGTGAGGAAGAAACCGATCTAGGCGCTTCTGCGTCTCGACCCAAATCCTTTCTTTTGTAGGGTCTTCCGCAGGTGGAGCTAGATAACCCCCATCTGCCATTACAAGGAGTATATTCTTCAAGCTTTCAGGTACTGCTTCCTCCTGTGTATCCAAAAATAAATCTGTTAGCTTTCGGAAACACATAAGGGTGTGACGAATGACCAATAACATGACCACACCAAAAAAGGGAGAACCTACAAGACTATCTCCCTGGCCACTATTCATCATGCGGTCCAAAATATCCAAGATCTTCAGCCATAGATCCAACATCCCATCCCATTCCGAAAGTAGGACAAGGTAATGAAGGAAAATTTTGCACACGAGGGTTGCTGCTTGAACTCGAGTTTCGCTCATTCCGACCGAGTCTGATTGGTACACCTCAGGTTTGAGGAGTCGTAAGATTAGTGGGAATAATACTTCTCCAAAAATCGCGATCCACTCTGTATGATCCGTCGATGCAAGTTCAGGTGACAACAGGGATCGTTGCAGTGCCGATATGGCTTGGTGTCGAACATCACGGCAAGGATTGAGGCACTGTGTGGTCAGTGCGTTGAATATTGGTGACCAGTATGCGGCCCATGCTAAAAAAATTACTTTAGTACCGGAAGTGGAGACAAATCTGAGAAAATACTTCCACGTACCTTCGTTCCGTTCTAGATGAGACTGTTGAATGAGATCCGGTACTCGTCCTGCCAAGTGGTATATAAGGCCGATTGCTTTAATTCCACGTTGCACCAACGGATTATCCCTAAATTGGATTAGCTCAAGTGACAATAATGAAGGTGCCAAAAAGCGGGGAAGAAGCACAGGACTTACTGGGCTTTAGGGGGCTTCACTAGCTTGGATCGTCGTCCTGAAGGAGTCCTCCTTGAGTCAGGCACAGCAGCAAGGCTCCCTGCGCTCGCAAAATCATTGGCAAGGCTTACGCAAGACTCGTAGTTGTCGGCTGAAATCACGGGCGGAGTGAAGTTTACAATATGTTGAAGAAGGTCGAAAACCATAGGAGCGGCTTCCTGATGTCGATGTAACCGCTGCAATATCGACCAGAAATCTGGGGACTTTGTAATTTCGCTTTTGAGAGGAGCAGCACTGGTGATACAGAAGGAAAGTCCTTTGATGATGTTAATGGCTGAATCGTCTATCGTATCTTGATCGAAGGCAGAGATGGCATGAAGGACAACCGGCGCGCGCATAAAGGAGTGTTCCTGCCTGATGTTAATCGCGCGAACATATATAAATTGTTTGGGGAAAGTCCAACGTACATAGGCATGGCAAAGGAGATTTAGAAGGTATGATATGGTTCGAGAAACTGCAAGAGAATGGAAGCCCTTGAAGTCTCGAACGATATTTTGTAAGGCGCCAGCGAGGCTTTCACCCAACTCACGGATAGTATCTTGATCTCTAAGGGTCAGAATTGTTGCCAATTCAAGTATGTATATCATTCCAGGGTCGTAGCTTGGTTGATTAGGGTCGGCTTTTCTACTGGGTGACCGAGACATATTGGGCGGAGGCCTTTCAGGCTTGACAACAATAACTGCTGGGGTTGTGTCCGGAAGATCTGACAGCAAAGCGTTGACTAAGGAAACAATAGATTCCACGGGCATTAAGCTGTGAAGGTTAGAATAAAATACTCCAAAGTTGGGCAGACTGTAACATACCTTATATTGGAAAGAACCTCTGGAATGGAGCAAGCATTGACGCAGTCCACTGTGCACAGAGTGTTTTCAAGCTCTTCATCAGAAGGTTCAGGGGGATCATCCGCAGCATAACTTGAGAGATATGATGTGAAGGCCGAAAGTAGTCCGCTGTCGTTACCTCTTCCATCTCGGTCGATAATTTGCGACGGGGGTTGGAGCGGAATTGGAGGGATATCCAGCCTCGGCTTCATACTCTCGAACTGAGGAATGAGCGAGTTTATGAACAAGTTGTGAAATATTTGGATAATGTGTGTCCACCCCTCTCGAACGATGGCTTCATTTCCCGTCAGGACTCTAAACAACACGACAGTTGCCAGCTGTGCCCTGAAATCCCTGCCTAGTTTGACTGCAAGCTCGCTGACCATCACACTCTTTTTACCGGCTTGAACTTCGGTGTTGAGAGTCGTATTGGGTGGTACATCTGGAGCAAGGGTGCTAATGGAGCTAAGACAGTAGATGATGCGATCCAATGCTTCTGTCAGATTGTATCTAGCAGCGATCTTGGCACATTGGTCAAAACCGATGACGACTCTGGAGAAGACTGCGTCGTCCGAGGCAGACATGAAAACATAGGAAAGAGTTGCCACCACTGGCCGCCAAGTTGCCTCGAACATTTCAGCGTCAAATACGTTGGAGTCGAAGACAGCCAATTCCCCAGCGTCCACGGTCTTCATGAGCAGCTCTTTCCAAGCATAATCAAATGCGTGCTTATTTTCGTGCTCGTCGGGTAATATAATTTCGTTATGTTGGATAGAAGTGTAGATGTCTTGAAGGAAATCAATGTCGAAATCATTCCCACCGTTGACTCCCCGCAGATTCTTTACAAAACCCTCAAACGACATGCGATCCTGGGGCTTGACATTGCGATTGTATAAGTTCGTGTTTAGCATGATGATGGCGTACGTCAAGACGAATAGTGAATCTTTATCCGCCACTCCACTGGGTCCTACTTTGGTGATATACTTGTCCGAGAATACCGTTAAAATCCTGGTAATAAGAGGGGCCTCGCCAGGCAGACGGAAAGAACCAAGGAGATCCCGCAGCGCTTCATCTACTCGTTTGCCGTTGAAGTCGAGAAGACCAATGAACTCGTCAAGGAGAGTTTCGTTAGATCTTTTCGAAATAAATTCTCCTAAGACTTTTTTGGATATTCGGCTTGTTCCTTTGAGAAAACTTGCAACAAGATGAGGGTCATGTGGGTCATCTATGATTCCGTGCGAGGCGAGGTGTGTAATTCCCGCCTTAGGGTCCTCATTAAATTTCGCAGCACCTTGGATAATGATCTTTTTCCGTTGCCGCTGACTTCTCAGGCGTGCAGGGTCTGGAAGATTGTCGTAATTAGGAGGCTGGTCTAGCCTTTCGGCAATAAATTGCACGTATCCCAAGAGGGCGTCAAGACATAGTGGAGGCACGTTTGTAGTACTCCATGTTGCGGAGTCAGGAAATGCGTTACGGGATAGAAGTCCAACCATATCTTCACAAAGGTCAGCGCGATCGACTTCACAGTCATAATTCACGAATAGCTCAGCCATGAAGTTGGGAATCCGTGTTAATGCTCCTATGCTTTCCACCATCGCTTCTCGGGCTTCAGGCTTCCGAGATCCGCCTTCCATGCCCAGCTTTTGGCGGTCTTTGACAGGAACTGGAGTTGAACGACCACTGCTGGCTTGCGACGGCGAGGGCTTCACCAATTTCGGTGACTGGGGGACGCCTGAATAGAGGCTTGGGTCGATGCCCGGTTCCCGTGGTATTTCTACTCTTGGATGCAAACACGCGACTAGATAAGAGAGGAAAAGCTCTTGCTGCAATTTCAAGACACTGCGACAGGTAGAGAGTAGCGTACCCGCAACTCGAAGAGATCCGTTTAACAAGGTCATATTTTCAGACCTTACTAGCTGGAATAGATGGCGACACAAGTCATCTCTCGCAAGTTGTGCAAGGCTTGGGTGACGAGAAATCGAAGGCCCTGCGACCTCAAGGGCAACATCGATTATCCTTAGTGACATAACTCGCATTGTGTCAGTGTGTTGGCGGTTATGTGGATCTAATAAGTCAATAAGGACACGGAAAAGTTCTCGAATCGAAGGTAGAGAATACGGTTTGACTTCGGGGAACATGTCTTCATGTGGTGCGGGCTGATTGGCAGATGTGTCACCATTGACGGTGGCTTCTGAATCGTCTTCACCGCTGGTACGATCCTTTTCTGGGGTAGACGTATCCATGCCTAGACTTGAAGGATGTTGTGATGTAACGGTATCGCCATCCACTGAGGGATCCATCTTGAAGTTCCCAGAATCTTGATGCGCGCTCTCTTCTTGCAACGAATTGAGATCCGGCATATCATCGACGTCCAGTTGGGAGAGGCGCTGGAAGATGACCTGGCACATATTTATCATAGACATTTCGGCAGAATGGCGAAGGACTTCCGATAGTCGAACTTGACAACACATGCTCAGTCCTGTTTCCATCATTTCGCAAACACTTTCGTCTCCCAGAAGTTGGCCTTCAGGCCTGGAGAGCATGCCCTCCATGAGCTTGAGGATTCGAAGCAGAACAATTTCATCGGCAGCAGAGTCAGTGGCTTCAAATCGGCAATGCGTGATAGCGGCTGACAAAAGCTGAAGGGCCATGGAGAGACGTGGAGAATCCCGGTTGATGATATTGTAAGCAAAGAATTTCGTTATTGAGATCAATGCGAGGGATGTAATGGGAGCGGATGTCGACGATGAGCGTATAACCTGAAGAAATGGATGTAGAAGCGCCGGGGTATCAAAATCACGAATATCTTTACAGTCTTTTAAGTCGATACGTAGCCGCGTAAAAGCAGACATCAGCGGATTGTCTTGCAAGCTCTTTCCTTTCTTTCCCCTAAGACCCCATCTACTCGCGAGTGCATGTTCTCCCCCCACCCCCATAGCTCCACATTTCGTTGGGGCGATTTTCGGCGGGGATTTCCCCTCAAGGGATAAGTTGGACGGGACTGAAAACTCGCGTTCATACGAACGCGACGCACCACCTCCACCCAGGATAGCCGCAACAGATGAATGAGCCCATCTTGAATGCTTTCGCATCGAGGATGTGACGGTGATACATTCTGTCGTCACCAATTCGACGGGATTTACCGCTATTGGTATGGTGCTGCGTCCGTTCATGTTGCCACTCTGGTACGAATCCGGTGTAGGGGTTGGGGCATTTTGAGCCACCGAGCTAGATGTGGAAGGGCCTAATATATCAGGGGAATCGTGATCATCAAGCTTCTCGACTGCAATGGTCATATTTTATACTGCGCGGCGCAAACGTATATAGCGGAGGGCTCAAGTGGTGTCCGAGGGGAGTTCATGCCACCGGACGGTATAGGTATGGACGTCCTTTCAATCAATCATTTAGCCATACGTTGAATAATCCTCATAAGCCACGACTCCCAGCAGACAATCCCGTAATACTTTGGTCGGCAGGGGAACAAAGGTCTGGCGTCGAGCACAGTCACTGTCCTCTGTCCTCTCGGCAGGTCCAAAAACTGCAGCTGACATAAACATTGTTTCCACTTAAGGTTTAGCGTTGTGAGGTTGACCATCTGAATACTTTATTTTTCGAGGTTAACTACAAGGCTCAGCGCATCTATTAATTGACACTCAGCTTCTGTCAACAGAAGAAGTGCTTTCCTGTGGGTCATCGAGGCTCGTGTTTTTGCATCGTATGATAATTTAGTATTCTACGCCTACGATACACATCCACATAGCCGCCCATCTCATGAGCAAGTTACTAGTGTTCAAATGCTGGCTTCAGGATATTATAGCTAGGAGTATCGAGCAGGGATATTATTCATATCTGACGCGCAGGTCGCTTGATCTGAGTTTGGATCTACTTTATCCTTCCGGATATTTTGAAACTGATCAGTTTCGCCCATCGCTGTTCTAGCACTATTTTGGAACGGGACGAGATTTGGGAGGAATGTTTGTCTAAGAATGAAGCAGACCATATTCGACGACTAGCCTCGGATCTGACTGATAGGGACAATTCTTTGGGGGGAATTGACAGTCAGGAATGGCCGTCCATAATCTATCGATGCTATCCCGCGTCCTCCACAGGTTAGTCTCGAATAATTAATTGACAGTTCTCAGAATAGAATTGTGGAGGAAAGCCTTAAAATGGAGTGAAGTTATATCACGTGCTATTTTTGTTTGGATGACATAAGCTAACGATAGACGCGGATGACGCCGCGCAATCGCGTGTTGGAGCCAATCACAGCTACAGGATGCGGGCAACAACAACGCCCGTAAACAGCGCATCCAGGCATGACCAGCCAACTCACCGTACTTCTCCGCCTTGTGGATGTTGACCGCTCGATGACAGCGGGTTTATGTTGCTCAGCAATTTACCCATTATTTCATTGGGAATTTTTCTTGGGACTCAGAACAATATTTCATTCGGTATAGAGCCATGTCTTCATGATACCAAATGGTTGTGTTTGATCTTAGCTTGAGTTTTGTTTACCTTTTGCAATGCCCAAAACACAAGGCAGGTGGAATTAGCGACCGTGCCAGAACGACTCGGATTCTCACTCTGTGACTTGGTAGGACGGTGCTTCTATACCTGCTAAATTGTCCTATACGCTTTCCATCGCAAATCGCCCCTCGTTACCCTCAATCTTTACGCCGGCGCAACGTGCAGAAGGGGCACTCCCTCCCCCGCCATGGCCTTCGTTTCCGCTTCCATCGCAGGTCTACCCCTCGAGCAACTTACACTCTACCATGCGGTCGACCCTATCCTTTCGTCAGTCCTCATATTCCACGGCCCTGTTATAACCGCCAATTCCACCGTTCGAAGCTCTCGTTTCCAAGCACATATCATCGCCCCTGGTGGGGTGCTAAGCTACCCTCGAATTACAATCTCCCCAGCTGGTCCGCTTTATGCCGCGGTCAATCATCTTCCACGAGACAAGCAAGGCGACGAAATTTACAGAGGATTAGCGGTCTGTCTTTTGAAATATTTTGGAGACCTATCTGAACCGGTCAGATATGTACTCCTAGGTACTGCGCGATCTGGAAATCTGTCAGCAAGATTGCCGAACGCATTTGATGAATTCCATGCTGCCGAGTTAGCAAATAAAATGGTAAAGGTAGAGGACCCTACAGACGCCATACGCGACCTCAGGGACGCCTATAACGATAGAATTGTACCATGGATTGACGTGGACCTCGTTTTACCCCCCGGGTCCATAGCTACCTCGAATGGCTCTCGCAATTCCGATGGCGACACTGAACTACAGAGAGACTCCACACAGTATGGAAAGTATACTTCGTTGGTTGAACATCTTGGTGAACCTGTGTTTTTACCTACTTCGAAACTGCGGCGCGCCCCATCCCTGCCCATAAACACTAGCAAGTCCAAATTATTCTCTGCCGCCCAAAAGGAGACACTTCGACTTGCTATGTGTGAAGCTGTAGATACCGAGGAGAGATATGTTGGGAAAATGTACGACTTGGTACATAATATCATTCAAAAATTTTCCCATAAAGCTGCCGATAAACCGCCAACAAGTACAAGCCCTGATGAGACTGCGTTGAAACAGCTTTTCCCTCCTTGTTTGAACGAGATTTTAGAGGTGAACATGGGATTCTTGGGCGAAATCCGCGAAATACTGGAACAAACGGAGAAAGATGCCCTTGAAGACTTGGCAAGAAACACACACATCGACTCGTCGTCGTTCCGCAGAGACGCCACCGGGAAGAGAAATGATCCCATAGGAATAATCAAGTTTGCCCATGCTCTCCTGGAATGGTTCCCAAAATTTTCCCAGCCATATGGGGATTATATGCACACTCACCATGGTTTCTCTCAGACTTTGAGCTCTTTCCTCAATGATAGCCAGTCAAGTTTCTCCAAGAGAGTGTACGAGACTGGAGAACAAAAGATGCGTTCAGTCTTAATGGAACCTGTTCAGCGCCTCCCAAGATATAGCCTTCTTATTGATGCTATGACTAGTGCACTTCCGTCGGTTCACCCAGCGGTTAAGACACTCCTCAAGGCTCGCGATATTATCACAGAAATATGTTCACTAGATTCGCATTCTACAAAAGACAATTCCCGCGATTTAAAACGCCTGCAGAGCCTTGTTGAAGACTTCCCCGTAGCCAGCCTACCTTCAGGAAGATTGATTGCCGCGGTTGATTTCTACGATTTACCACCTCCTTACCAACTATGCTCACCTGAAGAAAGCCTAGAGTCCGGGATCCTGTTACTTTACGGAGACTATTTGATCTTGCTATCTAAAGCATTTGAAAGTAGGATGACCGCTCGCGGTCTATTTGCCGAGCTCGACAAACCTCCTATTGCGCCCACTGATGAAGAACCCACACCCTTCGAACTCAAGTTTTTGCAGGCGTTGCGGATAACCAACATCCGCTGCACCCAATCGGTATGTGGCCGTATCCTATATCTTACTCCGGCCGGAAACTCTGTACAGAATGAGCGTTCTCGCTCTGTCTCTGCGATGCACGCGTTAGAACTGTTATCCACTTACGAGGGCAAGGCTGGCCGTTTGATTGAAGAACTCACCAAGGCTCGAATTGAGGGACGTTTCCCTGAAGAGTATCGGGGGCGAAACAAATGGTGCCTTCGTAGTTTTAAGGGTGGTTCTTCCAATCTGGGCGTCTTGATATCCGTATTCGAGGATGAACCAAAAGATGCTAGTGGCCAAAACCTCTCCTCCACAGTTAAGCTCATATTTGACGGAACAAACGCTGTTAGGTCGAAAGAGCTGAGTCGACCAGGCGTAGAGGTTGTCGCCTCGATCTCAATGTCTGGGAATGACATGTACAAGATGGAGATAGAATCTGTAGTAGGAGTCTCCTCAGTAGATACGTTTGCAGCTGCGGAGTTTACCTCAGTTTTGTCCAATCGACGTAAGTTAGCTTTCCCCCTGGTTCGTCCTAGGATGTTGATTACTAACTACGTGTATAGTTAATAATGTCCTTCGCCCATTGCATCAACCCGAGAACCCCATTCTTACTTCAGCCATTTTAAACACTAACTTCAACATTATTCGAGCCGTTTCCAGCTACATTCTGGAGCACGCAAAATCGGGACGAGGATTCAGACCCCCTTCTCCCTCTAAACTTCTATCAAACTTTTGGGGCGGCAGTCCAAAAGGCTCTTTACCGCCTCCAAGATCACTTTTACCTGCACCTATTCTACGAGAAATTCCACAGATCCTTCCGCCCGCATTAGACCGTTCCAATAGCTTAGCACTTAGGCCCGCATCCAGAAATGGTAGCACTCTCGTTGGAGTAAACTCGGGAGAGAACACACTAGATATGTTTAAATCTCTAGAAGAGACCTTTGCAGCCTACGTTATTGCGATTCGCTCGAGGAGTGGGAATATTGTTGGTCGCATACTTCGAGGGCGAAGACAGGCTGACCTCGCCACAGTAAATGAACTCTACAATGCACTTTTGGAGGATGCTGGAAAAATTCAATTGGCCGCCGAATCTCCAGTTGACGTTTTATTTGTGGCGTTTGAAACCTTCATGGCCAATGCCTGGAACGAACACATCGGTCCCATAATTTCTCTGGACGCGTGGGAGGTCATACAATCCAAGTTTGATTCGATGTTTCCGGGAGATTTCGAGGGCTATTTCCACCAATTCCTAACAGAAATGAGTCCTCAGAATCGTCGAGCTCTTACAGCGCTTGTAAAACTACTTGCTGAGCTGCTGGATGCTTCTGGTAATGATGGTGATCGCGGTGCTCTTACGGCAACTTTCTCTGAAATTTTGACGGATAAGGGGAATGCTATGGAGCATATATCGCTCCTCGATCGACTTGTAGAGGACTTTGATCGGCTATTTGAAGAGAGTGGCACACTCGATGGACCCATGGAAGGGACTCCATTGAATGACCAAATGACCCCGCTTACTCGGACCCAATCTGTGAATACAGGATCCACAAACCACGGGTCCATAAGCTCAAACACATCTTCGTTTCGAAAGAGGTTTGGCTTTGGGAGTTCTCGAGACCGCGGTAAATCCGAGAGCGAAGGGAAGGTTAGTTCTATTATTCGAACACTTAGCAAATCTAAAGCACATGGAGAAGCAGACTCGCAGCCACCGAGTTTTTCGAAGGCATCCCTTTTCCGATCTAGATCTATCGATACAGACTCTCGTTTAGCCAGTCTACTGCGACCCGTGTCAAGGGAACGCCTTCTGGCACATGGTATATTTTCCGCATCCGCGGAAGATCAGTCGTTGAGACCAAACAGCGCTCACAGCAATGCTCCTACACTTGCATCCATTGGTGAGGATCCCGCTACGGACAAACCTGTTACCGTAAGGAAAAAGCGACGAAGTTCGCTGTCCGACCTGAAGGCTTTGCCTGCTACAAACGTTGCGGCTCTGCTGCCCCCAATTGATTTAAGGCGCCCGCTTACTCCAACCTCCTCTCCGAACGCCAAAGCTTCACCGGAGGGCTCTCCTCCCCAGCAGCAGTCCAGACCGGCCAGTAGGTCTGGACCACAAACTCCGAAAAGGGCAGCTCCTGCCAATCCATCTCCCTCGCGGCCTCTGGTATCATCAAGTAAAGAGAATGCTCCACCGACACCAAGGACTATGCTTGGGGAAAGAGCCGCGAATAGGAAGCCGAACTCAGCCATTCCGCTACAGATTAGCCCAAAGCGACGATCGGAAGGCTTATCTTATATTCCATCTCCGAGAAATACCTTCCTCAAGGATCGGGTCGCTTTACCTGGGCCGTCGGATATGAATAACGGTAGGCCCCAGTCGTCTTCATCGATTCAGCGTACTCCCAAACTACGAATGCAGAATCCGCAAAAGGTATGTGGATCCTCAAATCAGTGCATGAATTTCATGAAGCTACGCGCTAATAGCATTCCACAAATGTATAGTTACGGGAACGCCTTCAAAATGAGAAAAAGGCAATTGCAAATGCAGAGTCTACCATTAAAACTGAAATTTCTTCTTTTGCAGATGAAATATCGAACCCTAGACTTTCCCCGGTAAGGCGACGACCGGGAACTCCGAAAGCGCTCGCGTCGCCTCCGTCGACTTCAGGTTCTACCGCGACGCTCCACAATCGTGCTCGCTCACTTGAGTCAAAGGTTAATACATTGTTATCGGAATTGTCTTCAAGAACAACTATCCTCGAGAAGGATATTGAAGACTCGCTCCTTGTGAGCGAGAGGAGAGCTAGGAAACTCGATGAGCTCTATCGAGAAGCCAGCGCGGAAAACAGCGCGCTTTATGAACGATTCAATGTTGAGCTCAGAAAAGTAACTAAGGAAGTACGCCTAGGGGCCGGTGAGGAGGCGCTCAAATCGCAGCTGAAAGAAGCACTGGATGAAGTGGCAAGGGTGAAGAAAGAGAATCTGAGACTGAAAAGGGAGATTGGAGGGTTGAAAGCGCAGCATCTTGACTCTGTGAATGGGGATGTACTAAAGGGAGAGGAATGAGGGGCGTTATGTGATGATGGCACTGATAACTTATGGCACGGCATATGGAATGGAACGGGATGACTGACGGAGTCCTTGGATGGGTACGGTTATTGTGAGGTATAGGTTTGGGTAGATAGGATATGAGGCATGGATATGATCACATACACAGGGCGGTTATGGGCTTCTTTTTGCATTCGAATTGTTAATTTTCCTTTCATGGGTTCCATACCCAGCCTAGCACGGACTTTGGTTTGATTCTTTGGCTGGTTGAGTTTTTCTTAAGCGTTTAGGGATTGGTTGGCTTCTTGATTTCAAAACAATCGGTTTATGGTGTTCGTTCTATAGTTTTCCCCATTTGAATAATGTGTAGGAGGTTACTGCTGTATTTAGTGGAATGAAGTCAAGAACATTTTGCTTTGCTTTGAATTTTTGAATTTCGGGCTCTTCTTAGTTGAATGCGGAAAGGACTACAATTCCCTTATTGTAGTAACGATTACACAAGAATCGTTCAAAAGCTGAAGTTTATATACTAGTTACATCAGTTACCGCAGATCCTAACCTGTAAACTGTTGGTATGTACCTTAGCTTTCCAGAAAATTATTTGACGTAGGTGTTGCTTTTGGGATTCTGCTGACGATGGCATCCTTGGGAGTGTTGCAAGTCGCGATACTACTACGCCCACGCGAACGTTATAGAAACATTTTGCCACGTCGGGGGCGCCTGTTGATTTTTTTTTTTATGGGTATGAAGATAACCGCTCAATACCCTTTAGGAAGTCCCTAGAGATGATTCGACTTTATTAGATTCCATGCTCCTTTTCTTAGAATATAAATGAAAAGAAGGGACAGGATTCAACAACAACGGGAATTGAGGGCTTAGTTGATAAGAAATGATAGCTGGGCCATTTAATAATAGCCGTCAGTATCCTCGTCTTCCCAATACTCGCCATAATCATCCTCCCGAAACTCGTCATCTAAGAGCTCGTCTTCTATTTCGTCGCAGTCATAGTTTATGAGTATCCACTCCCTCCACTCTTCAAGCAACCGGGCAATTGTCTGATGGCCATGCCGTTTTGCAAATCCAATAGCCCTATGATAATACCAGATACCACCTCCCTCCGTCTCTGCCTCATTCTCCAGCAAAAACTGCACCATGTCTAGCCGTCCCTGTTCCGCTGCAGCTTCTAGGGCTGTTCGACCTTTAATGTCTGCTCGAGAGGCATTGATTTCTACCTCGAGCTCTAGAAGTTGTTTCGTGATACCCATTGCGGCTGCAAGCTGCAGCGCAGTGGCACCCGCGTCTGGGGACAATTGGCCATTCACATCTGCTCCAGCCGTGAGAAGCATGTCAATAAGCTCTAGATGGCCGTGTTCAACGGCAGCCTGCAGTGCTGAGCGTGGGAGGGGCTCATTCGGCCCTTCACCCCAATGGTCGATTGTTGGTACGTTCACGGCTGCTGGGGCATTAACATCTGCTCCATGAGAAAGGAGCAGTGCCACTAATTGAATGTGCTTGAGGCGGCAAGCTAGTTGGAAAGGTTTATCAAGATTGTGAAAGGGGCGCGCGTTGACATCAGCCCCGTGGGAAATGAGTTTAGCGACATCTGCTGAGGTACACTTATTGATTGCAACCAGCAATGATAGGGCATCAGGAAGGTAACCCGCGTCGAGGAGCGATTGCACTGTTTCCCAGCTTTTTCCGAGGATAGCGGTGACCAAGACAGAACCGCGGATCATGGAATTGCTGTGCCAGAACTGCCTTTTGCAGCCCTCACTTATTCTGTAGTGATAATGTAGAAGTAAGTCCGTATATCCGTAATACCAACTTAATGGAACTGCATTCACCCAAAACCCCAAGATTGAGGAGACATTTCAAAACTGGCCAAATTGTCCAGTAAGCAGCATAACCTACTGCAGTGGCTTCCAACAGCTTGTCCACCTTCCCTTTCGCTAAGGAGGCTTTTGATAGAGGTGATATCGTTCCCTTTCTTGAAGGAACAGACAGTGGCACAAAGTGCTCCTGAGTCGTACGGCCGTGGGCCGTGACGAATTGCCCAAGATATCTGGTTCAAATCTTGGGATAAGCAAGCCCCTTCCAGAATTGATTCCCCATTCGGGCCTGTGTCATGGTGAGTAGCGCGGTTGGCCACGAGGAGGTCGACAAGTTCCCGTCGCCCAGCCTTGAGACTGAAAAGAGTTTGCCCCCATTCAACCTGGCGCCATTGCGGAGCAAGAAAGCAGACAGACTGTCATGCCCAGCCCCAAGGCAAGCCTGGAGAGCTGTCCTGTCGTCCCAGCTCTGTTCGTTTATGTCGACGCCCCGGTCTAATAGTGTCTATACTTAAGACGCTATCAAAATCCACCGCTTGCACAAGCTCTCCACCCATAAGCTTAGCCCCTGCCTGCAATAAGATCATAGCGGCTTTATCTATCTTCCGACTGCGCAATATGAGACTATGGACTCTATGTAAGGCAAACTGAAGCGGAGTGTGAAGGCGAGTAATGGTTGCTTCTAGGTTGGCTAGCCTTCTGTTGCTAAAATGGGGGCTTAACATCGGAGAATCTCTTTTTGGTACAAGTGTAATGCCAGTATCGACATCGACTTCATTATCAACAAGGAGCTGTACAAAGCGCGCGTCACATTTCGCAGCTGCTATGTGTAATGGGGACAACTTGTTCAGGTGATTCTGGTTAGCACCAAGTCTAATGATCTTCGAAGCGGTCTGCAGTGTTTCATAGTTTTGCAAGATGGCAGTCTTGAGCGCTATGAATCCCAAACTGTTTTCTCCGTCAATATTGGCACCTGCCGCGAGAAGGAGCTCAACTATGCCAGTTTTGCCGTGGTATGCGGCTACAGTCAGCGCATCTTGGAGGATTTCATGATCTTGGCTGGCTTTATGGAATGACAGAAGAGATCGTATGATTCGGCTGGTTTCAAACTCCTTAGTCTGCCCCTTCTTCTGCGTCCGAAGAGTCTGCCATTGGATTATCAAATGCTCTATCTACGTATTTCGAGCGACGAGCAGGGAATGTGAGAGGTGTGAAACCCGAGACGATATCACTAGAGTACTCAGCACGAACCCAGCAACGAATATCTGCACCGCTATCCATAAGTAGCTTGACCATCTCGAGAGAGCCATGGTCGGCTGTTACATGCAGAGCGGGCACCCCGTTCTCCTCCGTAACTCCATCCACATTGGCGCCGGCCTTGAGCAGGAGTGTAGCCATCTTGATGTTACGGATTCTTGAATCAGCAGCATATTGAATTGGCCGTTCAACATAGCCTGTCATGGACCCATTGATAGGCTAATTTGGGTCAATGCTGGCTTCTAGCAGCGCTTGTACTATGTCCGAGGAGCCTGTGTTGATTGCAGCTTCGAAAAGAGCTTCAGCAAACGCAGCACTGGTTTGGTCTTGTCCGACCGAGAATGTTTTGGCCCACATTCTCCGAGGTAGATTGAGATCTCTAAACATGTCGATAATTCTCGAAAATCTGGATTCTTCCTCCATCCCATCCTCATCCTCAATGTCCTCTATCGGGTTGTTCGATACATGATAGGCCGGGAGGCGGAAGGCTTCTAATTTAGCATCAAGCGGACCCTCATTCTCGCAGAATGCTCTCTTGTGAAAGCATCTGGCATCGACTTCGCAATCTCCGTTGCTGCGTGATTGATGCTGGCAATGTTGTTGGTGCTTAATTAAAAATTCCTTGAGCCGACCGCCACAGCGCTGGAATCACTTTCAGCCGTTGATAAGTTTCCAAAGCCCCATTCGTTGATTAGTTTCCTTTTGGTCGAATCTAATATTTAGGTGATCAGCTGCATATCATTCGATTATACCTCGAGACACCACGACTATGCTGCTGCTATCGCTATCATTGGTATCACTGGCTTCGTCATTAATTTGTGTTGCGTCGACATCGACAAGGGTCCAGATTCTGTCCCCATCCCGCTGAACAAGAATGCTGTTCTTGGAACCGCTGGACATTCATATGTTAGCTCGCGGTTCTTCATTTTGTCAGAATATCTCAAGAACAACTACCTGGATGAAGAAGTGGTTGCTCGTGACATTGTTTGTTAGTCCCGTATAGGTAGCTATGGTTGTGGAAGGAGCTGTTGATACAAAGAGCTGACGAATTGTTTCCGGTTCTGCCGGCGGAATTTGGTGGTCGAATGAGACGACATCCACTCTTTGAGGTTAGTGAGTGCTCGTATTCTAGTGGCCGTGCCATACGCAAGGCTGCGTTCAGTGAACCCTGCTCGATTGGGGTCTGCAATTCTTCCTTTCGTGCTATTGATACATGTCTATAATTACAAAAGTAGTGACGAAAACTCCCCAAAGTTATTCAAAATTGCGCCTCTGGCCCTAGATGTTTAAGAAAACAAAACAAAAACCTTCGACTCAAGTTTCGCTGAAAGGAGCGCCTCGCGAAATTTCCTTGTCCAAATCCCGAGATACCAGGTTTAATAAATCGAGATCGATGTGTTTATAATTTATCTGCCAGTTCAACGTCCAGTGGTCTCTCCTGGTATTATTATTCCCCATCCTTCGAGTGAAAGTCACTGGCATCCTGAATCCGAACGATGGAAACGCGAGAACCCGCTTCTGCCCGGTTGCTTCTGCGATGACGGGAATAGTATATCTCAGGTCATCCGGTGCATGGTACTGGAGAAGTTCATCCAATTCCTGCCTCGCCTTTAGGGTTGGGAAGGATGGAACATCTGATTTCATGGCATCGGAATGATTTTCGAAAAGAAACAATGCATATTTTGCAAGTCGGCGTCTGACATCTGCTAAGTCTGGACCATCCATTGGACGAACGACAACGGGGATGTTCATGCCATTATATTCAAATGAGTCCTTTTCCGCTGGATGTTTTAAATTTGCTGGCTCGGCCCGCACTCGTATCCAGTGTCGGTTATCCCAAAGTTGCCAGGGCGACCAGCGGGAGTTGTCCGTATCATATTCAGCAATTGGTAATTTGGGAATTTGAAGGTCGAAAGTGGAAACGGGCTTTGAGACACGCCTTGAGTACGGTGGGCGGGTCAGGAGCCAGGTATTTGAACCATAACCATCGTTTTGCTTCCTTGGGACGAACGATTTGAGAGGGAGGACTTTGGCCCCAGCCCATTGTCTCGACGGTGTGACGGGTTCGAACTTCACGCCGCCGACCGTAAATATATCCTGTCTTGAGGAAGCTGACGTTTCGCCAGACGCTGACTTTAGTGTAGGAAAAACTATTTGTAGCGCCATTGTGAATTTCTCGAGCGGTATATCGCTTTTTGGAGCAGGAGAAATAATGTCAACAAGGCGTCGCAAAACCATGGCTAGGATCCTCTGAAGCTTAGGTGGGGAACTCCGAATTGACACGCCCTGAGACATTCCAATATCCTCCATAACTCGAGGACCCGGGAAGTCAATCACAAGACTGCCAGTTCGAAGGTCAAGTTTGAGGACTCGAACTTTTTCTAAGAATGCGTTCGTCTCCTCCATGAGCTCATCTGAAATCCTTTGACTGTTTTCAATAAGTTGTAATATTGATGGAGCTTGTAGTGCGCGAGGAAGCGTGCCGTTGGAGAGGAGATGTCGCACTGTGTTTCGAGAAGTAAGGGTAGGATCAAAATTTGTTCGATCGTTTACGAATTGTATGTTGTTTTGAAGGCAAGTAGATGTTAAGCGTGACTTTGGGAAGGAATTAAGCGGACGGAATAGGTAAATACCCCCCTCTGCGATAGGGAGTATAAGATCTTCACGGAAGTGATGGGGCGGACCGGTCGCCGAATAGCGATCCGGCTGTAATCGTTTCGAACTTCGACCATAGCGGTCCCTAGCTCCAGCAGATTTTACCCTCCTTTGCCCATCTACTAACCAGACGGAGGAACCACTCTCTGCTACTCCATAAATACTATGGCATTCTGGTATATGGCCTACGCTGGCTACACCCTTGAGGCCGGTTGCCTGGCGTTGTCCTCGGGCTACTCGACTCAGAACCGTTTCAATATTATCGTCCAGGTGGTGTCCCAAAAATAGCGCTCGTGAATTGTAGTCCCTGCAAGCTTTTCCAAGAATTTGATAGCGGAGTTTCCGGGCGACAGTTTCAAAATCGGTGAAGCTGGACGGGTGAGCTCCGCCGGGCCAACTAAGCGTAAGAATGGAAGGGTCAAAACCTAAAGCGCAAGCAAAAAATGGAACTGACAATTAGCACCTGCATTCAAATAGTAAAAATTCAAATTACAAGGATTGAATAGAATATATCATTGCAAAATCATACCAAGGTCTTTAAGCCAATCTGCCACTTTGTGTGCCTCCTCCGTGCTGCCCTCTCTAGCCAAATGGTCGACAATAAAGGGCTTCACCTTTAGGTCAGGAATCAAGCGTTCAGATATCAACTGTTTGCAGAGGAAAGCCAAAGCCATCGAGTCAGGACCTCCACTGACAGCCAGTCCTAAAATCCACGGAATTAGCAAAATGTATACGAAGGATTGAACCTGAGCTTTTTCATGCGAACCTATTCTTGACGGCACACTTGGTGTCGACACGCCTCGCCATCTTTCCCATAGATTTGTTACGGCCTCACAAAACTCTTTTGGGGAAATTGGGCTGCTGCTTTCCGGTCGTAATGCTCTCAGCGCCATCTAAATCGTAGTCAAGCTGGCGGAGCTTGCCGTTGTTGCTCCGTTATCAAAAATTTTTCACGATTCGTCGGTGTCAATATCACGTGATAACGTTGATTTTAAAACCGCCATTGAATTTCAACGCAATCCTGAGATGACTTAACTATTATGAGTTACCTGTTGCTAATTGTTTCCCCTAAAATGCCCAACTACCTAGATAGGTCCCACTGAACCTTACGAATTTGTATTAAACTTCCCTGTGGTTAGAGATCACCCGGTTTATACCAAAAGGGAAAAGGAAGATATAAGTATTTCAATCTATCCATAAAGTTGGTATCAATTTGTAATTCTTTTCGAGGTTCTCTACATTGACTATAGCCGGTCTTTCGGGGTTTTTATGAAAGGAGAATCGTTCGACTCAAGAAAGGTTCGGCAATCGGGAATGATTTGCCGCCTTTGGCAACTCGGCAAGCCGAGATTCCAAAGCTATTTTTTTCCGATGACAACAACCACAGCGAACCCTAGTTAGCGTAGATTATTCTTGGTCCCAACCAAACCTCACCTAACTCACTAATGTAAGTTACATGTCATTGGTGACGGCGATGATGACGTGAAAACTGTTCTGTTACATCAATTCGACAACCCGCAAGCGCCATGGCCGCGATTGAGCCGTCTGAACCGGAGCGGACTTCCGCAGCCGATCCGTCCCTCTGGACGAGGTCGCTCATAGTATGTTCATTTCTTAATAATAATACAATAATCCCTGCGCCCAAATTACTTGTGACTTACATTCTCTACTTTCTCCCTACTAGTCCGGGGCTGTGGCTGGTCTTACAGTCGACCTCTCCCTCTACCCGCTCGATACCATAAAGACCCGCCTCCAGCAAGCGCGGAAACACACTGGGTCGTTCACGAAACACGCTACCCCGTCCCTCCGCCAAACCGTGCGCGGAATCTATGCTGGCTTGCCCTCAGTCCTCCTCAGCTCCGCCCCTTCCGCCGCGAGCTTTTTCATCGTCTACGACGGCGTAAACCGCTACCTTCTCCCAACCCCGTCATCCTCGACTTCCACCCCCGTCTCCTGGCAGCATGCAATCCTCACACACTCCCTCGCGTCATCCCTTGGCGAAATATCCGCGTGCGCTGTCCGAGTTCCTACGGAGGTAATAAAGCAACGCGCCCAGGCTGGGTTGTTTGGTGGATCCACGCTTCGTGCGCTTAAGGATATCCTCTCATTGCGGCACGCGGGCTCCGGGAGTGCCAATGACACGCGGAGGCGAGGGCTGGGCCTCGTTATAAGAGAATTATACCGCGGCACGGCCATCACGATTGCGCGCGAGATCCCGTTCACCGTCTTGCAGTTTACAATGTGGGAAACGATGAAAGATGCATATGCGTCCCGAGCTTCGGGAACAGATGCCCACACCGTCCCCGGGTCCGGATCAACTGGGGTGGGTGCCGGACCGAGTGCGTTATTTGGCAGCATTGCGGGAGCTGTTGCTGCGGGGCTGACGACTCCGCTTGATGTTGTCAAAACTAGAGTCATGCTTGCGAGGAGAGGCGGCAGCGAGCATATACGGGTGCGGGATGTTGTGCGCGGGATCATGAAGGAGGAAGGATTTGGCGCGTTCTGGAGGGGAGTTGGGCCGAGGGTTGCGTGGATTGGGATAGGAGGGGCTGTGTTCTTGGGCAGTTACCAATTTACTTCGAACATGCTTCAAATGAGGCAGACTGGCAAGATATACACTGGATCAGATCCTCTATGATGGTTGAAACAGGAAAAAGAATTAAATTATCCTGGGACACGAGGGATGAATGTACAGTATATTACATTTTACGGCATTTAGATTTTGCTATTTCTATCCATAGACATGTGAATACTATACGTAACAATTCAACTCAGTTTCATAAAAAAACACTTAGAGGATAAGAGATAGAGTGCATTACTAGAACTGCTATTCACTGTTGCGCCTATCGTTCGATTTGTCTACCTGAACATCTTCGTTCTTTTCTGCAATCCTAATGCTGAAGCTTTCATAACTCTATTGTTTTCCCCCTCTCCTTTCCCATTTGCTTTCAAGCTTTCTTCACCATCCATGCCAACTCCTTGGCTTGTTCAGGCGTCAATAGTTCTTCCAAAGTCCCAGGCAACATGAAATCGTTATCCTGGTACTCGAATCCGGGGACGACGGTCTAAACAATTTTAGTGGTAAATTAGCAAATAACGAACTGAGCAACCCAATGCTTGAGACGAAAATAACCAAATAAAATTAAAAGTAACACCCAAAAACTTAAAAAAAAAAAAAAAAAAAAAAAAAAAAAAAAAAAAGAAAGAAAAGAAAAAGAAAAGAAAAAGAAAAAAAAAAGAAAAAGAAAAGAAAAAAGAAAAAAAAAAGAAAAAGAAAAAAGAAAAAGAAAAAGAAAAAGAAAAAAAAAAAGAAAAAAAAAAAAGAAAAAAAAGAAATTCTCCATACCTCGCTAATCAGCAATCCCTCTGTATCTTTCCCTGCCTCATGATCTGGTAGCAGATAGCTACCCTTGAACTTCCCCCCCTCAACAATCCACTGTAACTTTTCACCAGCCGCAATATTCTTCCCCACCACAAAAGTTTCAATCCTCGCTTTGCCCCCCTCTTCCACCTCGCCCGCATGGATGATTACATATCTCCCCCGCCCACGGTGCAAGGTATGCACAGTCCGTGACCGATTCCTGTGGAAGACACCTAGTGGTCTTCCAGGGGTGAGATAGTAGAAAATAGAAGTGCTGGCGGAGCGGGTGGAATCGTCACCGACAGCTTGAGCGGTGGCATGGCCTGGTTGATGACGGTACGGCTTAGTATCTTTGAGGAACGGGTTTGGGACGCGGAGAGGGTCCCTGTCGGTTTCGATGAAGTATCCGCCCTCGATGTGCGTTTGGAGGTTGAGGATGTTGATTGTTTGTTGGGCTGCGGGGGGTTCTGTGGCGGGGGCTGAGGCGGGGGGATACACGGGTTTGATATCTGAGAGTGGCGGGGTGGTGTCCATCTTTTATTGTGGTTATTGATTGTATTTGTTTATTTCGCTTTCTTAACTTTTTATCTCTTTATAAATGTGTTTTCGTGGTCTGTTTCCCTTCCTGCTATGAATTTCCTTTCGCTTCCTGGGTGGTCGTGGTAGTGACGATGTTTATGTGAGATAGACTAAATAGTTAGTTAACTAGAAGAAAGAGGGGCAGCAACAACTTCTTCTATCTTTCAAACAAAGCAGGCCAGACCATGTTTTATGCTGGGGTAAACCAACGAATTAAGGTATCTGCTTGCTGCTAGAAGAATGATGTATCCGAAAGTTAACTTACTGATTAAGTGAATTCGTTTTCTATTGGGCAGTAATTAAATATCCGATCCCTGCTGGAAACGTCCCAACAAAGATAAAACACCCGATGTTGACTTCTCTCGCTTCTTTGTAGCCCTGTTAAACTCCTGACTCCTGTGTCCGTACAACTTCAGAAACACTCTGTGCATGGATGACCATACGATAGATATTTGTATGGCTAGATATCTGATGTCCCTCTCCAGAGACACTTCACATCTCAAGCGCCGGAGTCGATGATGACTGCCAACACAAGAATTTGTGAAGTCCAGAGGTAAGAGCATTATTTAAATTAGTGTGAATTGAAACTGACAGGGTCATATCACACGATATACGGAGAAGATGGAATGGCATTTAATATTATTGCTTATGAAAAATCGCTGACTTTGGATGACTGTTGCCGGTGTTTACATTTATCTATCCATACAGGTTACAGTTTCTCCGTACATTTTGAGAAAAATATAACCCCTCGATACAGGGCCTGTAATCTCAGCTATCGGAATGGCGAGGTTTCGTTGGTGCGGAGTGTACCAAGCCACTTGGCATGTATTGGTATTACACTTCATCACCCGCTGTTACTAGCCCGGTGCACGGCCACTTAACCTTCCTTACTTAAACAATCGCAAAGCCATCCATTCTCCGTCTGTTGCTCCTCCGCCACAACACCACCACCACATTGATGGATGAATCCAGAGCTCGATGCAGTCTGACCAGCCGCCTGGGATGATTTAATTGTTTTATCTGCTGTGAATTTCGACTGTTCTCCCCGCCGGTGCCCTATCCCATGGCTTGGTCTATTTGTCTCGATTCTGCCGCCGCCTGAGTTCGCCGTGCGCATGCTGGCTCGCGTCCTATCATTACCGATTGCTCCTCCATAAGATACCCTCGATGGCGAGAAAGTCTAGCCAGCGAGTCAGCTATGGTATGTTAGCTCACTCCTGTTGTTCGTTTCTAAATAATAACATCTGCTGTGCTGCAATGGGCTGCTAACTCCACTCTCTCTGCCCCTCTAGTGCTGCCTATGCCAGATGCCCCAGGGGGGCATCGCCTAGGTGTCAATGGGCTGGCGGTCGACACTGGAAGTTCAATCCTGTGAGTGCAAAGAACCGTTATGCTTTATATTAGAACCCGCCGGATGCAATTTCGCCCAACCTTGGCGCAAACGTTTTCTGGCTCCCAACCATGTCATCATTGCACATGTTCAACCAACAACTAACTTACCTGTCGCATAGGTATTCGGCTGGTCGCGATGGAGTTATCTGTGCCTGGGACTTAAACCTTGATCTCAAGTCGGGCGGCGTTTCTAACCACTTCTCCTCCGCCTCGTCAGGCACTACATCCTCTAATGCCGTCTCCGATTCGAGTTCCAAAACTGTAGAAGCAACAACTTTCCGCCGCCAGGTTCAGGCACATACACATTGGATAAATGATATTGTTCTTGCCCAAAACAACTCAACCCTCGTTTCTGCATCATCCGATACGACTGTTAGGGTATGGCGGCCAGAATCACAAGATTTGCAGCTACCCCCTTCGATCGGCAAGCACGGCGACTATGTAAAATGTCTCGCGACACCAGAATTGCATTCTGAATGGGTTGCGTCTGGTGGTTTGGATCACAAAATATATCTATGGGATCTGAACGGAGCTGGAGAGAGGTTAAAAATTGACTTATCTGAAGATGAGCTTGCAACTAAAGGTTCTGTGTATGCCCTGAGCACAAAAGGCTCCATATTAGCAAGCGGAGGCCCAGAATGCGTCGTTCGCGTATGGGATCACAGATCAGGGAAACTGATCACGAAATTTGTTGGCCACACAGACAATGTGCGAGACATATTAATCAACCAGGATGGAGATACAATCATGACCGCATCCTCTGACCAGACGGTCAAAATCTGGTCCATGACAGCTGGCCGATGCATGCATACTCTGACCATGCATAATGACAGTGTCTGGTCGCTGTATTCCGATCATCCTCAATTATCCGTATTCTACTCGAGTGATAGATCAGGTTTGGTTGCTAAAACGGACTGTCGAAGGGCTGCAGACTTTGACCAGGGTGTCTGTGTGGCCGCGCTGCAGGAAAATGACGGAGTCGTGCAGGTTGTTGCTGCGGGTGATTATATCTGGACTGCAACACCAAAATCAAGTATCAACCGATGGAATGATGTCGACACGACTGCTGAAGTTGATTTGCCGCCCTCGTCACAGCATCGACATACTTCTAGCACTGTCTCGTGTCAAAGCACTGGTGATATTAAACCTTCTTTTGAAGTTTCAGAGTCCGCGCCATCGCCACGGAGACTCCCACGCAGCTCCATTCTACAATTATCAAATGCGGCCCCAGCTGTGGGGGGACGGATCGTCCATGAAATGGTACTTGACGATGACCTGGAGTTGGTAACCCCTCTCCAAGCGCTGCCTGAAGAAACAATAGTGGGACAAAACGGCTTAATCAAACACGTTCTACTCAAAGACAGGAGGCGTGCGCTTACTCAGGATACTGCCGGGGAGGTAGTACTCTGGGATCTCATAAAGGTAAGCGAGAAACAGAAGACCACGATGAGAAATGTTCCATTCTAACGGGAAATTTCGCCAGTGTATTCCAATTAAATCGTTTGGGAAGCGTCACTTAGATGATGTCACTTCTGAAGTTAACACGATAGACACCATAGCGAACTGGTGTACCTTGGACACGCGGACGGGAAGACTCTCTGTGATCCTAGAAGCTAATCGTTGTTTTGATGGTGAAATTTATGCTGATGAGGCAGGTCTTGATGACCTGAGCCAGTTCAAGGAAGATCAAAGGAGTATGTTTAATGTCCCTTTCGGGCAGATAAGTAGAGTCGGTATAGATAGTTAACGTTATTTTCGGAACAGTTAACCTTGGAAAATGGGTTCTTCGATATTTATTCGCCAGCCTCATTGATGAAGAAATCAAACGAGATGCAGCATATCAACAGACTCTAGAAGCGAAGGCAAAGGAGACGCAAGGGATTTCTCGACTGAACGCCCCTGATTCAATAGATATTCCGAAAATAGTAGCCGAGGGGGTAGCCGAAGCTGGAGCTTCCAGCGCAACACGAACGGCCAATGGAATGCACCACCCTGTCACACCTGGGCTTTCCATTGGATTCGTCACCCCTGGAGGGCAATCATCTTTTTCTGATTTTGGGAATAGTACGTTAACGTCGACTTCTGGAGTCCACGGTGGTGGAAAGGACCAAACCGATTATTTTGCTTCCTCTGCCAACACGCACACGATCGACTCTCCGGATCCAAATCCGAAGTCTCCGGTCCCACCAGAGGATGAATCACAATCACAGCTGGGAACCTCGCCAGCCGATACAGAGAAAGAAGATAAGCCGGGCAAACGAAGTGGATCTCGTTTCGGTAAAAAGTTCCAAATGTCCTTTCCCAAAAAACTGGGAAGAACTTCCACTGAAACGAAGCCAATCATCGAAGTGAAGGTTGAAGAGGAGTCTGACGACAAGTCGTTTGAAAAAGAGAAAGTGTATGACGAAAACCTAAGCGGCGTTATTGAAAAGATGAGATTTGAATATGAAGAAGCGTTGAACGAACACCCGGAGCAGCCGTTGTCTACTAGGATCACCCCGAGCGAAGAAAATGAGACACCGACCCTAACCTTACCACCAAATACAGCAATACTTATACAAGAAGAACACCCCGATTCAGCTGTTCCAGCAGACCTCTATCGAGGGACGGTGGGGACTGTAGGCGCGGATGCCGATATGCTTGAGAAAGCCGCACCTAAATGGCTCGGAGAGTTCCTTCTACGAGTAAGTTTTTTCTCAGTTCTTCTGGTTATTATGGTTATCTCCAAATTAACGAAAGTAATCCATTAACTTGTCCCCGCAGAACACGATACCCTTCAAAGAAGTATCCAAGGTCGCATTTTCTTTGAAACCCTATAACGACCTACTCCCTCCAGTTGTGAAGCCTGATACGTATGTTATTACCAAACCTCCTTCCCCGTTCTCATTTTTGGTAGTTAACATTAAACCTTGGAGCTCCAGTCTCTCAACGAACACCAACCCCTCCCGCCTAAATGCCAACCGTATGCTCCGCGCCAAAAAGATCCTCGCATATGTTGCCGAACGCATCGACCCGCAAAACCCTGATGACCCGGATGCAAACACTCTGAAACCGGAAGAATATTTGGAACTATACTGCCAAAATACTGTAGGTTCCCAGTCCCACTGCTACTATTTCGTCACAGATCAGGACTTCCCCTCTCTGAAGACAAAAACCAAAACATGGACTCTTTCCTACATGCACGTGCACTGTACATACCTCGAAGCTCTTCCAAGCTAACCAAACATAACCTTCCGAAAGCTTATCCCACACGACATGACCCTCTCCACAATCCGCACCCACATCTGGCGGACCGGTAACGACATGATCCTCTTGTACAAAGCCAACGGCAAGCGGGAGATTCCAATTCCAGGCTCCGAGGCCGCAGCAGCGTCAGCGCGCGCCTCAACGTCAGCTTCGGATGCAAAACCTGGGAACAACGATGATACAGATTTGCCGCAGAAAATGTCGACGCTTGGTGTGTCGGGCGCCTCTGAAGCTAATATAGCAGGCGCTGGTATTGGTGGTTCTAGCTCGGTGACATCGGCGACGTCTAGGTCGGTGTCTGGGACGGAGATATGAGGTGAATTCATTTCATATTTTTTTGTTCATAATATTCTTTCCTCTGAGAAGCTATTACGATAATTTTTCGTTTTACTTTTTCACACTATTTATTATTTCATTTATCCCCTCGTTAGGCTGTTCCGTTTTGTGAGTTGCCCATTTTGCAAAACCGCTCTGGAGCAAGCCGCTAGTTCTGTGACACTCTGAGGGAGAGGATACCCGAGTCCTTCTAATACACAGCGGATTGGTTACTATTCTTCTTCAACTTCCTTGTTTATGTTTTTAACCTTCTGATTGCAATGTGATATGTATATACGTATATACATTCAAGCGGAACACAATTTGGCGATGCTGCCTGAGGAAATCCATATCGATGGATTTCCGAATTATTGTCAAGACACTCCTACATCTGATCCTGCTACACCTCACGCGCGGAAACGCAGAGAAGTGAAAATAAACAAAAGCACAATGAGCGAAACCCAACCCGTTCCTCCCAGGCTGGCATACATATCTACAACCTCTTATCACTCCACAGTTCCAATCTCCCTCAACCCTTTCGTCAATGCCTGCAAACGCGTAAACTCCTGCCCATCCTCCCCCAAGCCCCCAAGCAAACGCACCGCCCCCTCGCCACCATGATAGGGAATGAAAATATTTTATGCCAGTAACAGAGTTACAACTTAAATTCTTAGTACTAATCATAACTTTTGAAAGAATCCTCCATAGACTAGCTGAATTTGGTTCATATCATGTTGATGATTCTGGATGTGATAAATGAATCGGGTTTAGGCGCAGTGGTTAGTTCTCCGCAGGGTGTTGACACGAGTCCAAGTGTCAAGGTTTCACCAGGGCCAACATCATCACACACTGCCTACCTACACCCAAGATGGCATCCTCCTTTCTTGTGTCTTTATGGGTTCAACTGATGCGGCTTTCTTTGATAAAGCAGATGTGCTTTGATGTAGGAGTGAGACTACTATATTTGCTGCTCTATTCATCAGATATGAACTCAATAGAGAAATTGTTTGCTGAGTTGAAGGCTTACATTAAGAAGAGCTCATCTTTATGAGAAGAGCTCTAGTTAGAGTGTCAGTGTTTTCCTTCAATAATATGTTGATGTTGTCAGTGTAAGATATTTTGTTGATCTCATCCACTCAGAATCAAATGAATGTCATTTGTTGTCATTTGAGAGCATCATAAATGTGATTCCTGCTGCAAAATTTATAAATGCAAATGCATGTTTTGAGTGTTCACATAGATGACTGAAAGATCTCATGCATATAAATCCAGTATCAAAATCTGATGGTCAGATTTGAGATCAGACTTTTTCAATATTCTCAGAGCTTCTACAAGTCATTTACAAGTGTGAGAGAGTTACTGCATCTCAGATGCTCAAAGTCTCTCAATCAACTGAGGTTTCTCTGGCTTCAATAAAACTCTCTTTACTAAGACTCAAGAGTATGTATAATAATATATCTTTGATGCTTCTTTATTTATTTTACTCACCTCACCTTCTCTTGACATTTTATCAGGTTTCAAGGCTCACTTTTTCAGACTAGACATCAGTATCATAATCAATTCTCACTTTGTTATCAAGAAAAAACAGATTTTTCATCTTTGTCATAATCACTAAAACTGCATGATTCAGAATCACTCAAACACATTTGACACAAAACTGTAAGAAAACTGCAAAGATTATCTTCTGCAAAGTGAACTACTGAATCACTTCAATCTTTTACTGTTAGATGAATGAGATGATGTGACTCCCTGAGGAGGACTGATATAATTCCAAGCTCAGATACAAGAATGGTTTCTTTAGCAGTATGTTTAACTTCTCTCTTGACATTTATTTATGGGAAAGTATGAATAGTTCAAGCAACCTGCAATTCATCTGAAATGTACTCAATGCTCATCTTGACACTGAGGGCTATATACAACTTTGGCAAGGACAATTATGACAAGAAGGTGGTCTTTGATATTCTGAAATGAATTTTCTGTTCTCCAGAGCCCTTCAAGGAGCTCACTGTGAGAGGAAAGCAGTGACTGATTTAGTTAGGAACAGGTGTGAAACGTGTGCGGTAATATCTTTTCCAGGCTTTGCTAGTTACAAGACTGAGTGAGGTATATGCCTAGAGAGAGTTCGCGTATTTGGTAGTTCTTTTGGATGTGTAGGCTGAGTGTTCTGTGACAGATTTAAATTTCCACAGAGCGTATAACAGCATGTTCCAAGTACCATAGTAGCTTGATAACTGGGTGGGGAATAAATGGCAGAGTGTTGGATCATGGAGCGAATTTTGCAAAGCACTCTGAAGTTGTATTAACCACAATGAGAGAGGTGCGGTATCCCAGCTCTTTTCATAGGACCAAACGATGAACAAATTCCATTCAAAACCAACAACATCGTTGATAGGAATGAGAAATGGGATCGGAACGTGATCTGAGATTAGACCAGTATTAAGGCAGCCTACCTCTATAGTGACATTTGGGTCAAATGGGTATTCGGGTTCGATTCCCACAGGGGTGATACATCAAAATCCGATCAGGTCAAGATTGAAAAACCAGAACTTAAGCATCTCAGGTTCTTAATGAATAAAGAGGTGTACTAAATAAATAAATTTGCTTTCAATTCTGGGCTGGGATCATGTACTCGCGAGTCTCGAAAATTGTCACTCTCTGTATTTCCTATGTTTCATGTTATCTTGGTTTGGTTTCAACACCTTTACAGAGTATTTCCTCCTGCATAACCAACTCTTGGCCTGTATTTATCATTGTACTGTACAAGGACTCATCATAAGCTCCGCTTGCATATGAGTATAATGGAAGAATAATAATAATAACGAATGCAAAGTATGCAGTAATGACAATACATAAAGAAATAAAAGTGAATTCATTCATTTCTTTGAAAGGGAAAAAAAAACACTCATGCAATTCATGCAATTGAATCATCAACTCTGATATCATCATGTCATGTCATGACATTTTCTGGCTATTTCCTTTTTGAAATATTAGTGATACCACCCAGCCTCATACTTGTTTAATAATGTTCATTTTCCCAGCTTAATCACTGGGTCAATCAGCCAGATACACAAGAGACATATAGATTATTGTATTGTGGAAAGCAATTGAGGAAGAGAAAGAAAGGGGTGGAAAAAAGGCGGAAGCGAAATAATATAATCGTCATCTGAAGAAAAGAAAAAATTAAGAAAACAACAACTATAAAAAGGGCTAGTTGGAAAAATTTAAAGCACACACGTATGGAATTTTTTTTTTTTTTCGTTATGCCTTTGCCCCGGCTTCGAGGGTTTTGTGAAGGAAGGCGGGAGTGCCGCTAGATATTCGAGGGAGGGTCGAGTTTTAAGTTATCTTTCGTAGTGGGGCAATGGCTTCGAGAGAATTGGGAATGGCACCGTTAACATAGCATCATCGGGGTAAAACAATTTATATACACACCCCGGCCATCCATATGGGGATGGGGAGGGAAAATATAAAAAAAATAGACTCATTAATTTAACAGTCGAAGAGCCTCACGGCTTGACCTTTTTATTATTATCGTTGGCTGGAGGTGGAGCTGCGGATGGTGGTTCCAAGACATGCGTGTGGTTCGCCGCATGAACCACAGTGCCGCATTCTTTCTGATAACAAACCTGACAGCTTCGGACCCACGAATCGGCCAGCACATCTTGTAGCGTTGCACGCTCCCGAGGATTCAGCTTGAGCATGTGGGCGATCAGGGGTCGTGTTTCCCGGGGCAGAATACGCAGGAGACGCCAGGGGCCTTTTATAACTTCTGGGCGCTGACCTGCCTGGCCTACTTGGGAAGATGATTGCGATGGAGGAATCTCACTTTTCGGTTGGCTTTCATCGCTCTTGGTGTTCTGGTCGGCGGCATTTGTGACGTTAGAGGATAGTCGAGACCTTGACCTAGACCGAGAGTGATTGCGATGGCGACTTGACGAACGAGCATCTTCATTTCTCTCATTGGCGCGAGGGGGTTGTCTCTTGGATGCATCAATCACGCTTGGGAGATCCGGCGTTGAACGTGGACGAGTTTTTAGAAGGCCGATCGTCTCAGATTCAGAACGCTGATGGCTAGGGGGCGAGGCAAAGAGCTTGAAAGAATTGTCGGTCATGCGTGGTTGTTTCCATGGAAATCGACGTAGGGACATGCAGCAGAAAATTATCGCTAACGACCATATATCGGTTGGACGGGGGTCGTAGCGCTTCTCATCGTAAACTTCAGGTGCCAAATACGGATCGGAACCGACAACTCCTAATTTGCATTCTGTTAGTGAGACGAGACGGAAAGAAGTAGAAGAGGAGATTATGCAATCCATTTGGGGGGAGGGGGTAACAGGGGTAACAAACCAGTTGCGAGCACAATGTCGTTCTCAAAAGGATATCTGAAAACAACGGCACTTCCAAAATCAATCAGTTTCATGATCCCTCGATCGCTGACAACAACATTGTCCAATTTCAAGTCTCTATGCGCCAGACCCATCCCATGCAGATAAACAACACCGCTGAGAATTTGCAAAAACGAACAGGCGATTTCTTCTCTCGTCATTCTTCCGGTCATGACAATCGCGAAAAGATCGTAGGGGGCAAACTCCATGACTTCGTACCACCGCCCACCCTCGTTGATGATATCCATTGTCTCAATTATGTTGCCGTGATGCAATGTTGATCCGATACAGAACTCTGCCGTCACTTTTTTGGAGTAATCCTTTTCATTCTCCCATGAATGGCGATCTCGGAATTGCTTCACAGCAAAAGTGACACCATCCGAATTACGCTTCAGCAACCGAACTGAGCCACCTGCGCCGGATCCTAGCACTCTACCTAACTTGCCATATTTTGACTGAAGACCATGATCATCTGCAAACGGTATAGATACAGGGGCCGGTTGGAACTGAGGATGTTTCGCGGATTTCGGGGAATCCTTCTTCGAGAAGCTGGACGCGGGTGAACCGCTACGCTTATGTTTATTGCCCATCCGGAAAAAGCGTTTCAGCTCCGACATAGATCCGGAACTTTTGCCATCGTGTGGCCCGCCAGAATCACCGAGTCGGCTATCCTTTCTTCCAGGGAAGAAGCTACCCCGTTTTTCATAGGCTTTAAGGTCGCCTCCGCTAGCTGATCGAGGAATGCGCGCAGGAGACCGCGACTGGTTCGCTCGGCGCTTGGCATCTACACTTGCAAAAACAAAGCGAGGATCAATCTGAGAGAGGCTCTTAGGCTGAGGGGGTCTCCGGGTTCGAGAGTAAGGGTCATTGTGATCTCCACCGGGAGTAGTTGCCCCTGAGACAGGCGTACTCCAGCCCGGTTCACACTTCTGGGTTGGGGGAGGGCTCGGCTCGCGGGACTCAGGTTCGGAAGACTGGGCTAGGTAAAATTTTGGTTTGCGAGTGCGAGATTGTCTAGCGTCACCCGCAGCGGAAGCATCTGCGTACTTAGTCGATGAAGGTTCAGAGGAAGGTGAAGGGCGGGACCCAGCCCCAATAGAGTCGTATCCTTTTCCGGGTACGTCATTTGATAGCGATGTCTGTGGAGTGAACTCGGACTGTTCCGACGTCCCGATCCCATCTCTATAGTCAGTTTGGTCTCCCTGTTTTCCCTCACGGCTTCCAGAGCCGGTAGGGGTAAGTACCGGGGACTGAGCCCCTGATATAGTAGGGGAGATCGGGACAGATCTACTATGATCCCGAAAGCTCCGAATACTACCCGAATCTTTTGAAGGAACCTGAAACACGTCTTTGTTAGTAAACGGAACCGGGGAGTATAAAAAGAGTATAGAAACAACACGTAGAAGCTAGCCCGACAACTTTTGCGGATGAAGAGCGGAAACACAGACGCGTCTCAAAGGCTGGACACGGGGGGAGGGGGGGAAGGGGCAGAGTAGGAAGTTCTTAGAATTAGCACATACCCTTGAGGCGGGAAGGGAAACAGGATCAAAAGAGAAATTTTGCAACCGGGCCTCCTGTAGCCTGGACTTCTGAAGCTGTATGGAAAGAGACTGTATCTCGTCGTTCGGGGGTTGGAGAGTATTAGAAGGCTCGTTGCTTTCTTGGGCGGAGATGGCAGGCTCGATTTCTTGGTTTACAGAGGCGAAACGGACGGCCTGCTGGCCATGCTGTGATGACGGTCGGGAACTCGAATTCGTCGCCATCGCGGAATGGATTGGGTGCTGGTGCTGATGAGGGTGATGGTGATGTTGATGATGGGGAGGGGGTTGATTGTCTCTACCCATAGGTGGAGAGTCTGTGAGGTTGAGGTTCACGTCAATGAAGAATGAACTATAAAAATGGACGAGATTGCCGCAGAGGCCGGGAAGGGGCCATCAGGGCAAGGTTTTCTTTTCCTTTCGTTTCTTTTTTCTCTCTTTCATCCCTTGTAACCAGTGTTTTTTGGTATTGTAGTGTAGTGGCGGCGTCAGACGTACCTTCGTGCTGGGAGGACTCGGAAGCCATGGTCGTGAAGAGTGTGGGAAAAGCAACAGGACGCCTCGAGACACATTACCTACCCCTCGACTGATGCTCCCGGGAGAATTGATGATGATGATGATGATGATGATGGTGCGGATAGCCTCGAATTGGACGGGGTGGATCGTGACGGGTTTTGTTTGCCCAAAAAAAATATAAAATATAAAATATAAAATAAATATAAAATAAAATAAAAAAGATAAAGAGGAGGGGCGGGCGGAAGGCGGATGTGGCTGAAATGGGTAACCCACGCCGCAGACAAGAAGAGATATCAGAACAAACTACTCCGTACGCTATAAGCTTCAGAAACCAAAGGACGGTCTGCACGATCAATGGGATCAGGATGCTGGTGACTGTGCTCCAGGGCGCGGACAACGAAAGGCTTAGCAGCGTCTGTTGGTCTGTTGGTCTGTTGGATGGTTGATAAGTAGGCTGCGGACGATGCGACGGGCGACGTGGATGACGGATGGCGGATGGGATGGCGGATGGGAAGACGGAGTCACAATTGCCCGCTAGGTTAAGCTAAACGCTAACTAGCTAATGATACATCAATATCCACTCTACGGGCTAAACACACCAACCACCCACCCCACCACCCTAACCGTGGGCTTCCTTTTTTGCCTGCTGTTTTGTTTGGCAAAACAACTCTCGACCGGGCTCAGAGATTCCGCAAAACCACGGCTTCGGCGTGCGTCAAGAAAGAGCTCGACTGTGGCTGTGGACTGCGGACTGCGAAAAGGGAGTTGAGTGGCTTTTAGACTCCCTGAGATGAAGTAGAGATATTTTAAGGGCATGGGAAAATATTTTTCAACCCCGAGAAAGGTTATTTTGAATTGTTCCAGATAACATTTCATCTTCTAACTATAACTATAGGAATCTTGACAGGCGCAGGACCAAACGCTGTAGTATATATACATACATTTCAAGGTTGTACAACATATAATTACAGTATTCCCCGGGTGTCTGTGTCTGTGTCTGTGCTACCCTACCAGTACTATTCTGTCGAAGAAGTTATCCAATATCTGAATACCTCGGGCATTGTGAACTGTACATTTGGTTATACGCATTTTGCAGGGGGATTGCCCCAATTCCAGCCAATCTCCCTCCCACCATCTACTCTATACACACCCTAGTGTCTCATAGAAACAAAAAGAACAAGCTTTCTTAAGGTGGAGAAATTGAGTCCCTAAATGTTCATATATATAATACACAAGATACAACGTTACAGGGGAATCCTTCGCTAGTCACGGCAAAAAATATGCAACATCTCCCCCTGTTATAAAAATATACAGCAAAGAAATGCCCATTTTCCCGAAAAACGCCGTCGCAATTGACACCTTCCTTCCCAAGAAAGGGGAAGGGGTTAATAGAAGGGAAAAAAAAAAAAAGAGTATATCAGTAAATGATCACTCCCCGAGATATGCGCACAAAAGAGATGATTTGAAAGGCTCAAGGGACAACCTCAATGCCGACCGACTTCGCCTGGGCGATGATACTTTTGCACAGTGACTGCAAACTTGTTCCAGACAACCGGATCTCTGACTGCTTGATCTTTGCGATCTCGTACACATGCTTCAGCGACACTTTGCCGATGAAGTCCTTGCCTGGGTTTTCCGTGCCCCGCAGCCGGCCCTTGCGTATCTCTACATCTGCGGCTTTGAGCAACAGCCAGGATGTGGTGGGGGTTCGGAGGTCGAAGGTAAACGATCGATCGGGGCGGACGGTGACGAGGGCTGGAATCGGAGTCCCGGTTTCGATGTGGGCGGTGCGAGCGTTGAATTCCTGTTTGTGTATTATTAAGAAATTAGGAACGAAAACAGCAGCACCGACAGCCATCAATTGATGGATAACCGTAACTGTGATGGTACATACCTTGCAGAAATCCATACTCTTCACACCTTTACTTCCGAGGGCGGGGCCAACGGGGGGACTGGGGCTGGCCTGTCCCGCTCCCACGATGAGCTTGACGATCAGCTCCCTTGCGGCGGCTTTCTGGGCCATTGAGTATGGATGGGAGAGGGATGGAGGGCGTGGTCAAGGGCAAGGGTAAAGGCAAAGACAGCCACTTCGATTTCAAGTGGTCGTTCTCGATGGGAGGAAATCTTGTGAGAGCTGCTGGTGGTGCATTGATGCTTAATGCCCTGATGTCGCTTTTCTTTTTTTTTTTCCCTGTTGGGGAATTTTGGCGGCTGCAGATCCACCGACAGGGATAAGTCTACTTAGCGCCCGCTTAAAATAGCCGCGTCGAAGCTAGCCGCATTGGCTGACTAATCTTATCAAACCCCCCCTGCTTTCTTCTTTTTCTATCTCTTGTCTCTGGGTTTAATATTAAATTATTTTTTTATTGTTGTACGGAGTACTCTGTACTATTAAGTCAGATAGCTCCTTTCCTCTGCCCCGCCGCTGCTTCCGCTCGCTGGCCCAGCTGGCGCTTTTGTTGCTTTGCCCTTGCCACGTCGGCGGTCCCCTCTTACCGCATCCGGCATAGCCCCGGAGCTCTTGTTTCTCCAGCGGGAATCACTCACTGTGCAGCCGCCGGCTACCATCAAGCTAAACTACTTGTTTTGCTTCCAACATCTCTTCTCTTCTCCCCCTCAGTATTTCTCTTATTTCTTTCTCCTAGATCGGTTCGTTATTCCTCTCTCATCATGAACTGGTTCAAACAGACGTAGGTGCAGCTCCGGTTTCCCTTGGTTGATACCCATTTTGAGCCTGCTGCTTACATTCTACTACTTCTTCTATTTAGATTGGCCAATGTTGCGGGGACGCAGGAACCCATATATGGCCCGGAGGCCATCCAGTCAGTGACGGTGCAGGCGAAGTCGCTGGGTACCCCATACCGGGAGTTAACGAAGGACGATTTGCGATGGAGGGCGATGCAGTCTACCTGCGTCGAGACCCAGACCTTCTATCTCTTCTCCGACAGTGGGGAGCTAGCTATGCTTCAGGTTATCTATAGCAATGTCGCGTGAGCAAATACTCGGGGGAGATGCTGGAGCTCTCTTACTTTTCTACTTTTTATGTTTGTTTGCTTGCTTCCCGGTTGAAAACAGATTTGCTAAGCCATTGCGATTGTATGGATGTTTTCCTTTGGTCCACAGTGGAATCCACACGACCTGCCATTTCAACTCCAAGATTTACGGCACGGACGGTAAGACACCGCATAAATGGTGCACCGACTCTGTTCAAAACTACATGTTCGATGAAGACATGCTCTCCTTCGGCGGAGACAACATTGCTCTCACGCTCAATGCTGAAGGCGATACCTACTCCGTCAAGTCAGCCATGAACGAGGAAAGCCTCGTCAACGTCACTTTGAAACGCACCGCGCCCGGTTTTGCGGTTGGACGAAATGGCACCTCGAACTTTGGTACCGACCCCGAAAATCCGTGGGGGAGCATGCGTCATGTGTTTTGGCCACGATGCCAGGTTGAGGGTACCATTGTTACGCCTGAGAGGGAAATTGACTTCAAAGGCCGTGGGCTGTTCATTCATGCCCTCCAGGGCATGAAGCCTCATCACCTTGGTATGTTCTTTTTGTGTCTTTGATGCGATTTTTTCTTATATGTGTGGTATGAAGGCTAACGTTTTCATCAGCTGCACGGTGGAATTTTGGAGCGTTCCAATCTCCAACGTACTCTGCAGTGTTCATGGAGTACACCACCCCTCCTTCATACGGCTCCACCATTGTGAGTGTTGGTGGCATTGCGAAGGACGGCGAGCTCGTTGTTGCGGGTCCAGTGAATCCCGCGATCCATCTCGATTCTGTAGAAGATACCTACAACGACTGGCCGGAACCCAAGTCGATTAAGTTCACCTGGGATGGGAAATCGAAGGACGATAAAGATGTCGAAGCAGTTTTGGAAGGTTCTCTGGGCCAACGCCTTGATCGCGTTGATGTTATGGCAGAGGTTCCAGGGCTTATAAAATCTATCGTCGGAAGCGTTGCGGGAACAAGACCATACATTTACCAGGTGAGCACGAGGTAGTGGCACGCTACGTATACTAAGACTATGATTCTAATATTATTTTATAGTTTTCGCCTCAAGACAAGCTCTCCCTAAAGATTCGCGTTGGGGACACCGAGGATACAGAGCGAGGCACGCTCTATTCGGAGGCAACTTTCATTTCTTAGACCTTGCCCGATTTTCTTTTTTCTTCTCTTGAATGTAATCAAAGACGAAGAATTCTGTCATTATCACGGTTGACCCATGAATTGGCGTTGGGATTCTCCTTTTTTTAAATTCTATCTTTTAATCGTTCGCTCCCCTCGTTATATCTTTATTTTTAATCAATTTTGAAAACGCCGTTTCATGCATTAAACGCCTAAAGCCCTACCCATATATGCCAACGATCCCCTGTTTTGATTTCTTACGTTACCTTGATAGGCCTTGATAATGCCTTCCCACCCCTTATAATATTCTTATTACTATGAAATGGAATAACACTGGACGGTGTCGTCTCCGCCGTTCTGCCTAGGTACTCGAATTTCCACTATTATTTTGTTAATTTCCTCTTCTTTCATCTAAGGTCCCCTGAGATTAGGAGGGAAGTCCTGCTTCCCGCTACCGTGAACTGATTACAGCCTATCTACACATCCCATAATTGTCTTGTTAGGCCCCTTTTCCTAACCTCAATTCACTCATACAACACATCCATCCTCTTCAACACCTATCAACACCAACACATCAGACCATAGAACACCCTACCTTACTACTCTCCCCCTATTCTAATGCCTTTTTCTTCCTTTCACCCAACGATCACCAGCCTCTCTGATCTTGTTACTCTCACGAACAGCACAACCAAACCCAAAACTAGCCCTTATCTCATTTTCTGAAGACAGCGCTTCATTCCTCCAAGTCTTCTCACATCCAATCCACTTCCTACAGTACCTGCCATCTACAATACCAGGAGGAAACCCCTTCTCTAAACCCCCCCGGTGTCACAAGAACGCAACAAAAAAGAGCGACAAGAAATGGACACTATTCATCCGCACCGCAACCTTAACCCCAAAAACGTTGCCAGATTTGTTCCAAGACGCCTGAAGTGAGTGATGAAATGCCCAATAGCATAATACTTCTATATGGGATTGTTCAGGCAGGGCCCATGCTATGTTTTCTACTCTACCCTTCTTCAGGGGTAGCCCTCCCATTTTCCAATGGCTTTTCTGCTTTCATGTGGGAGAATAGAAGATTTAGAAACTGACTCTCATATGCTTCTACGGCTTCTAGAAAGTGTTTGAGAGATAACATCATGGGCGTCAGTAAGTATTAACTGCTCTTGAGGGAAAGGTTGCACATTTCTCTCCCTCACTCGCAGCTTTTTCTTTTGCTCCTCTTAATCGAATGAAGGACCATGAGAACGATATAAAACACATAGGTATAGGGATTGATCCGGAGACTAACGTTGAGTGCCCTTTTTTCCTTTTTAATTATAGCCAAGCCCGCGATTCGGTAGGTCGATTTCAAAAAATAAATTCCCACATATCCACCAATCCAGCCCTTGAGAGTACCGCGAGGTCCCCAACCTCCAACTCCTTTTTTGGTTAAAGGCATTCAAACCGTCGAAAGATCTTTTTGATGTGTGGGGGGAAATGTTCCCCGTGCACAGCGCTCGTTTTATCGGATATATTATCCCCTTTAATTTCTGGATATCTAAAAGATCAACTCTTCTAACCCCCCCCCCCCCCCAATCCTCAGTCGTCTCGCCCGTCGCGGTGGTGTGGTCCGCATGCAGAAGGATATCTACGATACCATTCGGTCTGTGATACTCATGCGTCTTCGCGAGGTGTGTTCATCTTCTGCTCCTCGACTTCGTCTTTGGAGCGGTTTCTCCCGATTTTTTGCATTTGATTTCCTACTCTAAGGTGCATGGGAACGATAAGGGTGAGAGAGTTGGGAAAATATATATATATATGAGGTTGGCTAATGTTCCTTTTTTTTCTTCGAATCACCTACAGATTATTCGAAAACTCGTCGTTTTGTTGGAAGGATCGAAGTATCCTAATAAGGAGCGTAAGGTATTCTTGTTGTCTTTCTTCGCTTTCACATTCCATTTTTTCAATTCTATATGTTGTTGTTTTCCGAAAAAGAAAATCCAGGTGGAAGATATATAAATGGACTGTAGCTGACCAGAAACTCATCTACTCGTGAATACTCCAGACTATTACAGTTCGGGATGTAAGTCCTCCCTTTGCATTTATATGTCATACATTCTATTTATTCTATTTTTGCAAATCCGAGCAAATCTCACCAAAAAAAAAAAAAAAAAAAAAAAAAAAAAAAAAAAAAAAAAAAAAAAAAAAAAAAGGGATTGGATAGTTGTGTTTGATTTGCATATATTGTAGAGCACCTTTTCTTGGATTTTATCCTTTCTCGGTATGATATTGCTAACCGATTATACCCTCCGTTGTCCGTGAAAGGTGGCGTTTATCCTGCAAGGAGTAAGTGATACTTATTTTGCTTATCGCCATGGTTTTATGAATCTGGGTTGGCCCTGGGACCGTCTTTTCTGACTGAGGAAAGAGAGGATGGGGAATTCTGAATTCACAAACTGAAGTTGGAACGCCAGCTAACACTTGTACCCATTCGAATATAGATGGGGAATCCCGTCTACGGTTTCGAATAGGCCAGGATTCTGCGTGGTACAGACGTCTATCTATTGAAGAACCGAGGCAGAGAATAGATTCCGTCTGGAAAACGCTTGCATTGTGTTCGGACTTCGACGACTTCGGTGCTCTGTTATGCTGACTCGAGGAATGCCATAAGGGATGGGGATATCTGTCAAATGTGTGTGTGGAGGAACGATTTATGGGCGATTTCTCTTATTTCCTCTTTTGTGTTTTTTGCTGTTGTCTGTATGAAGGGAATGCCATTGCAATTGCGGACGACAGACGAAATATTTACAATGTAGGGGGGGATATGAGACCTGAACTGGGATGGATTGTCTGTTTGGTTTTCGGGTTTGGCTGTTTGTTTGAAGTTGTTTGACTTCGAGGAAAAAGGGGTTGCAGGTGCATGCTGTACGGATTGGAAAATGGGGAAGGCATAACGGACAATGGAGTATCTAAATGTCATCTAACTTTTGCGATATGGGCTTTTTTCTTAAAATGCACTTATTAGTGTTTCTACCGTTCCTTTACTCAATCCCAGTTTTCTGGCCTGCGCTTTTGAGCGTGGGTGGCGCTTGTTGACTAGGTTGATATTTCTGAGTGAAGGAAATGGATTCTTGCGGCGTGATCGTTAAATTTACAGAGCTATCAGAAACTCTACCGGCGATAGCGCTCTTAAAGTGAACGAGATGCGTGGATGAATCATCCCGTACACACTTCATATCATTAAACCATTCTTAGGGAGGAAAGGATCCGTCCTTGTAGCTACATGTCCCATCCTCATTATCCCACATGTAGCAAGAAATTATATTTTATACATCTTCGAATCATAAAAAAAAAAGCCAGTAAAGGGACTACAGGAACAAACAAAATTCCTAAACCAAAAATCAGAGGCAAGCAACATTACTTCGTCCGCTCACGAATCTGCCCGGCAATACTCGATTCCGGCATATGCAGATCCCCCTGCTTCACCATCGGCACCAGCAGTGTCTGCGGACTCTTAACCTTAACATGCTGCGTCGCCCACGCCTTCTGCCGTTGAATCCCACTCTGAGCAAACGAAACAGCCTCCACAAATTGTTCATCCCAGATGGCCATGCTTGCCGGCTGCAGTCCCGTCAAGTGACCCTCGATGTATGTACGTGAGGAAGACATCCAATGACTGCAGCGCTTCTAGAGGCTCATATGGATCGTTCGTATAAGTCTTGTGGAAGAAGATGGCGTCGCGAAGCCGCTGTGCGACGGAGCGCCCATATTCTCGGTTCTCGTGATATTTGTCGATCAGGGGCTGGAAGGTTTGGAGGGCTTCGGTTCACGATCTGACACATGACGCCAAGACCTGATTGGACTTCCAGGTCGTGGACGAGTCGGGGAATCAGATCTCTGTACATTTCTATGAGCATTTCTAGTGCCTCGTGTGTCACGCCCATCCATCGCTCAGGGAAGCGTAGGCGTTGTTGTGATGGAAGCTCCGTCGCGTGCTGGGCCGAACCCTGGTTCTTTTCGATATTCTCAACTGCTCTGGTCTGCTCTTCTTTGGCATGTTTGGTCCGTTTGCGAGTGCCTTCCTTTTGGACACATTTCTCGATGCAGACGGCTCCGGACTTGAACATTTGTTGCTTGGAGATGATGTCCCATTGCTCTAAGTTGAGTTAGCATTGATCTTAAACCTCTTGGGTAGGCTTAAAAAGCCAAATGATGATACAGATTCATAACTTACCAATAGTTAATTCATTTGCCGCACGAGCTCTGTCGTCCTTAGCATCAAAGTAGTCAAAATGGAAAGGTATGAACACATGTCCCTTGGCGATATCGCGGATGGCGACTGCTAACTCAACACTGCCGCGGCGCGACCGCCCAACGACATCTCCCCGTCCGCTAGATGTAAAGCTTTCGCGTCCACCCGAGAAATATGAATGACTGGCTCTGGGTCTTGCATCCTGAAGCCGCTTCGAGCGTCCAGTCTTTGTCCGTGTGTGGAAATGATAGACATTTCTTCCAGTGGTCAGATGAAGAGAGTAACTACTGGTCGGCCTACCACTTCAATGGGTGGCTTGTAGTGAGCTGCTTTCAAAATTGCTCTGCCTCCAGGATTCATTCCCATGTACTGTTGTTCCGTGTAGGGCGCGCCGGTCTCCAGATCATGTCCGAACGACTCGCAGTATTGCGCGTCTGTGAAGAATTTGACATCTTCGAACAAACGTTCTTTGCCATGGGGATATTCTGCTATGCATGGCCACTATATCCCCGACCCCCCGGTCAATTTATCATATGACAAAGCGCTGCAGTCCAGCGGGCGGCCGAACGACATCCGCTTCCATGCTTCAAACACCTCTTCAAAATGCGTGTACGGAATGAACGGCTCGCCATCTTCATTCCTGAAATCCATTCTCTTTGCAAAGTCAAGTCAGATATCCAGGTCGACTTTGGCTTCGCCGGTAGGGTCCACTGCTTTCTGAGATAGATGCATAGTCCGATCAGCGTTGGTGAAGCATCCAGTCTTACCTTACCTCCCCATTGAGCTGCGGGGAGAACCACATCTGAAAAAGCTGCAGTTTCTGTTAGGAAGATATCTTGCGTCATCACAAATAAGTCTGGTTTAGATAATAAATTCCGAATCCTGTGTAGATTCGAAAGACCGACGAGCGGATTGGTTCCGGAAATCCAGAACATTTCAATGGAACCATTTCAATGAAGCTGAGCATGTTCCGTCTATGAGCTGGCTAGTTCCAGTGAGGCATTTGGATCGTGTTGATGTTCCAAATATCAGCTATTGCTAGAATAGTAATCTGCTCATCCATTCAGGCCCTTTGGGCCCAGTCTCCCCGGACACACGCCCGCGCACCCTGACCACTTTTCCATCTTTCACTCCAATATCCAACCCACAGCCATTGCTGTGAAGGAATGTTTTAATCGGCGAATGAACACCCTAGAAAACTCAAGAGAAAGGTTAATAATATAAAGATCCCCATCAGGAGTCTCGGTGAGATGGTCGTCACGTCGTTGGGGCCAGCCATGTTTGTATGGCTTGCGCGCACCCCATATGCCCTTGATAGAGTCGTGAGGCTGGTTTGGAGCCGCTCTCTCTGTCTCTGTCTCTGGTTGGTGTGTCTTTTTCCAGATAGATTACATCACGGATCGCTATATATTCAAATCAATTGCATCTCTCAAGGCCGTAATTGATGTTGTGATGCACAGTCAAAGTGACGATCGATATTTAGTATGTACAATGGATCTCTTTGATAACATAAATATAGTAAGCCAAAGACGTCTCTCCCGTCAGAACCCAGCGCCTAGAGCCCGCTTAATCTTCGCCTCCATTGCGCGTGAGTTGCTCTCAATTCATCTCTCTGCACGACAAGTACTGGCCTTCTGCCATGTCAAGCGATTTGAAATGTCATCAACGTCGTGGCAGAGTGATATTCCCAAGTCCGACACGTTTTCTGGGTCTACGAAGCTCGAGGTTAAAAGACTTGCGGGAGATCAGTGTTGGGCGTGCGGTGCTCCCAATCCCCAAGTCTGCCATGTGTTTGGGAAAGAGGATCCGCAGGTGAGTAAACAATGCCTCAAATATGGATCTAATCGGAGATGGGGTAATAAATAATTTCCTACTACCGCTACAGATACAACTAAATATGGTACAATGCAATCTCATCGACTTTGACTTAACCTCAGCCGAGAATGGGATCGCACTGTGTGCAGGCTTCCACGTCCAGTTTGACCAGACGGCTGACCCCGGATTTGTTTTGTTACCCGTGGACTTGCAGTACTTTATTGATGTTGAGCTTGATGATATTCAGGAGAAAAAGCTTGCATTGAAGAATGGGGAGGATGTCGATGTCCACCGAAGAGTCCCAACAGTTGTAGAATACAAGGCCCACCAGCACAATGATGGAAAGGTCCCTGCCAACGCAAGTGGAGGATTGTACCGACCAAATTTTCTACAGAACTACCTAGTTGGCGGTCGCCTTCCTTCTAATGTACTAAATACCCTCTCAACTCCAAAACAATGGCACGGCGCGCCGGTGGCAACACTCCGACGGGGAATACTGGTGTTAGGGGGTGGTCGAGTACAATCTCTGGACGCAGAAACTCGCTCACAACTTGAATTGCTTCAAAATTTGTACTTCCTTAATGATGAAGAGTACTCCCCAGCAGACCACAGCAAGCAGATGCAGTCAGTAGTGCAACGGGGGCAGAAGAGATCCCTAGATGATGAACAGGGCAGACGAAATAAGTTGCCAAAGCTCAACAATTTAGAGTATGAGTTGGAAAATAAGAGTGCGGATGAAGACATCACTTCCCGGCGATGTCCCCCTGATGCTATTATTTAACGCGCCCCGCAGTTGGGTATTGGGACCCGGCCTGACCGCGGAGGAGGCAGTATTGCGCTACGCTCCCTGTTGTCTCACAAGTGAGAGATTTAGAGTAAATATTTACTGTCTTTTTCCTCTACCACCCTGAGCGGTCATTCTGATATACCAAACAGCATTCCACCTGTTGAACTCAAATGCCCACCCATATCGCATACATGCATACTGGTTTTGTAAGTGGTCTCGATATTGTAGTAATTCTAATATTTTACTTCTTGCATGCTCTAAAGGTTGTTGGGGGGTATTTGAACACGGCGCGCCCCCAATTTGATGCCAAAAACTGCAAAGTTAGACGCGCCAGAGCAAATCAAAATTCTATGGAAGTTTTACAAAGAACGTTGGGATGCAATGAGAAGGAAGGTTCGTTCCACGGATATAAATCAATGATAGTCACTTACTGTGTGGTCACCCTCCCCCCGGCCACTGACGTATATCAAAAATGGGATTGTGGAAAAGACAATTGAGACATGATGGTTTCATTTTCAAAAAAAAAAAAAACAAGAAAAAGAAAAAGAAAAAGAAAAAAACTTCTCTGTTTTTTTCTTCTGTTGAAAAAATTGAGAAAATAATCCCATTAGCGGCAGGTAGACAAAACATCTATTCTCACCCAACACAGTCGCACACTGAAAAAAAGGGGTAAATCTACAATTTTACCCCTATTTGTCGCCATACGTAAAACATCAACAAATAGTCCTCTGCGCTGCTATATATATCCATATATATATGATTCATCCCGTAAAATAACTTTCCACAACCCCAAATGCCTCTCCAGGCCCTCATCCTCGCCGGCAGCCAGTCATCGCGCATTGGAGCGCGCAAGGAACTGCTCCGGCTAACGAGCAATTCGCCATCGCTTTTCCTGCACCTTGCGCTGGTTCTGAAAAGAGCATGCCCGGAGCTGGATGTGGTTCACGTCTCGTTGAAGGACCGGACCGGGACGCTGTATCTGATGTACTGCAGGCATTGAGGGAGCAGGCGGGACATGTGTACTCTCTATGGCCGGAGGAGTCCTCCAGCAATGGATGTTGTGTTGTCATTTCACACTCTTCCCCGGGCTACAGCTGCGGAAGTGGTGGGGATGATGGTGGTGGTGATGGGGATGACATGATAATGTCAGGAGCAAGATAGCCATCAATTTCCGATTCGTATAAGATGATAGCCCAGCGGCAGAAAACGAAAATATCTGTGCCCCAAACCGAAAGTCAGCGTATAACGACATCGGGCCCCCGCCGTGGCCCTCCTGGTGGCTCACACCAGTGATCCGGCCTCAATATGGCTCGTGGTAGCATGGGATTTCCCCCTCCTGGCTCCTCGTGCTGTATGGTGCATGGTGCTTGCGCGAGCAACACTTTACCACCGGTGTCGATGGCACTTTTGGTTCTTCTTCCTCTCCTTCTAGGCGACAGACCTTGACGTGCTACCGCAATGCGCAGGGCCACTACGAGCCCCCGTTCGCCATATGGACGCCTGCGGCTCTTGGGATCTTAGATGCCAATATGAAGTGGGGTAACACGGGTCCGCGGATTGTTATTCAGGAACTTGATTCCAGAGGACTTGGGGAGTTGAGGGTGGTGGTGGTGGTGGTGCCGCGGGAGGAAATGTAGTTGTTAAATGCGAAATACGATCGAGGAGTGCGGGGACGCGGTGAGGCTATTTAGGGAAGGGGTAGGGAAAAATCTATAAGGATGGAAGCTATACAGGTTATTAATTATTACAGTTAGATGTCCGGCTTTAAATATAAGCCATGGAATAAAGCACGCCCTCCTCCCATCAGGGGGTAAATATCAACACCATCCCCCCCATGAGCTCTGCACGATCCGGGTGGATATGCATGCACCCGGCAATCCGCGCCCAGGAATGGCCTAAGTTTACCGGAACTATGGTCTACAACGATGCCAACCTCCATTGCACACTGGTCTCCTCGAGAAAGCACTTCCCCAGCACAAAATACGTCGTTATCCGCTGGAAATGATGCAACCAATTTTCTATTCGCAGGGATACCATTTAGCATATTAGCGCCATCGTCTCTGCGTGTACTTTCCTTTGCTTCATTCAGTTTATCGGGATGATTATTATTCCTGTGTTGGTGATGTTCCACGAGAGACCGGATTATGCCCCGGACAGGCTGTTCAGATGGTTGCGACATCAGCGTGCGAAGATATGGCACGACGAGAAACTTAAGGCAAGCAACACTGGCGACGGGTTTCCGGGTAGACCGAAGAATGCAACTTTTTCCTCTTCTTCCCCTTACTTTCTCTTCTTCCCCTTACTTTCTCTTCTTCCTTGTTCACAGGGTCAATGCCATTGATCCAGGAGTAAAAGGAACCATCGCGAATGGGGCAGGATGGCCCGGCCGCATGGCAACCCTGTGGAAAATTATAGAGGCATTCAACCTCTTCAGTGCTTCAGGGATGAAATCGAATTTGCCCACAGAGAAGCCGCCGGTGGTGATGAGCAAGTCATACTACCGCCTTCCCTGTCGTCCCTGTAGACGGGATAGGATCTTCTCAGCTGCAATCTAGCCGTTATCCTCCATCGCCCCAAGAAAGTCCACGTCGCACCCTTGCGCTTCTAACACTGCGTAGATAAAAGGGCCATTGACATCCGGGATCCCAAAGTGACCACGACCACGATCACCAATACTACCACCACAATAATTGATCAGCTTCGACTCAGTTGAGAAGACACCCACACGCAGCCTCCGCAAAACCCTCACCGTCTCAACTCCACAGAAGCCAACGCCATCACATGCGGTGGGCGAATAACTGCATTTTCCTCAGTGATCACGTCCCCCTTCTGAAAAATCTTCCCCCTTCAGCCGCTTATTCTGATTAGGCCGCGCGAGTTTCAAGACACGGACGACACGCAGCAGTCGAAGGGGTGTTCATCCCTAGCAGGAGCACTGGTAGTAGAAGAAGAAGAAGAAGAAGAAGAAGAAGAAGTGGGCGGAAACGTAGCTCCAGTCATAATTTCCACACAGGGGTATACCCCCTTCTGGCTCTGCGGATAATATATCCAGGGGAGGGGCTCATCGCCCGCCGCGATAGTGCCTTTGACGGCAAAGATGATGACGGGATTTCCGGTCATTATCAGAGGCAGTCCTCGTTGCCTTTGAGCTTAATGTGTAGCCATCCATGGTGGATGGAGTCCCATTGTGGTGTAGAGAGGGGCGAGAGATGGGTGTCTTTTGATATGCGGTTTAGGGCTTTGTGCGGAGGAGGAAAGGGAGGATGTCGCGGCCTCCGCTTTGACGAGGTGGATGGCTTCTTTGTACAAGTTACTCATGGATTGGATATGCGAGATACCAGATATTTATGAATGTATGTACAAAAGGAAGCCGTTTGCTGAGAGGGGTTTAGCAAATAACTACAATATATCTTTTTCATGTTAATAGTTCTGATTACTATGGCAGCCCTGACAGCTCTCTCGACGGATGTTCCTTGATGATTTTTGTAGGAGTGATTGTGACTTTGTGACGGCGGGGGAAGGGCATCGATCGCCGGGGCACCAGAGCAGGTTTACTACAGAGTACTCCACTAAGTTACAGGGCTAGCCTAGCTAGCTACGTAGGTTAAGCTAGTTAACTAGTTAACCTTATGGTAAGTTACTGTACATAACACACTCTCCGTTTCAGATTCAGGAAGTGTTTCGGATTTCTATTTTCTTCTTGGCTGGAGGGTGAAATAAATAAATAGAACTAAATATAAATAATATAATATAAAAATAGTTAAATGTTGGTATCTCATGTCACATGCCAAACACGCCCCCAAGAAACAAAACAAGACAAAGAATAGATAAGTATATCGTAGGTATCATGTAGAATGGTAATATTTATATAAAAACAAAATATAATAATATAATAAAAATAATAAAAATATCTACCACCCCCTCTCCTCCAAAATAATCCTTTCCAAAAACCGCCTCGCCCACCGATCATGCTCCAGGAACTTCCCATGAAACATCCCAGGCAACACCTGCGTCGCATTCGCATGATCGTCCGCAAAGACAGGCCCATCAAGGTTCCTCAGCCGACAGAGCCCCACCGCCTCCTCAAGCAACCGCGTCCCAACCCCGCACTGCCGATGCGACTCCTTCACGCTCCACGCCCGGATAATCCCCGTCCACCTCGCTGAGCTCTTCCGCCTCGATGACCGCGGTCTGGGTAGGAGAAAGCCCGCTGCCCCCATGCTAGCGTTGTTGGTAGTAGTAGCATCAACACCACAAACACTACCACCAGCACCAGCGCCAGTAGTAGTACTGGTAGTAGTAGAGGTAGAAGAAATAGGAGCAGGAACACTCTTCGTCTTCGCGATCCTCAGCACAAGAACGCCCACAATCTCTCCCGCACACCTCGCCACGAGCACCTCATCGCGCCGCTGCGAGACGCCATTCACCGAGCTGGCGGCGAGCCAGGCCCGGGTGCCCACGTCCTCGGCGAGCGCACTGTAGCCGCGGACCATGTACTGGATTGCGAGGAGGGTGAGCAGGCTGCAGAGGGACCAGAGGGTGAGCATGAGGATGAGGTCGCTGGGCGGGGAGCCCGTGTAGAGCAGTTTGGCGATGGTGAGGAAGAGCATGAGCGAGGTGGCGAGGATGGAGGGGTGGGAGAGGATGCATTTTGCGGCTAGGTGGCGTTGTTGGGAGACGGTGTCGGCGATTAGGTGGAGGGCTGTGTGGATTTCGTCGGCGGTTGTGGCGGTGGAGGTTGTTAGGTTTTGTAGTAATATTGTTGCAGTAGTTGTTGTTGAAGGGTTGGAGGGGGTTGTTTTCTTGAATGTGCTCGAGTTCTCATGGTGTAATGGCGTGTTTCGTGGTAGATATGGTGTTCCATTGAGAGCTGAGCGGGAGAGGGAGGTCCTTTTCGTTTCTGCTAAGGGGTGAGTGAAGGGGTTTAGAGGGTCCGGTGTATATGTAACGGGGATGAGAGGTGAGGGTGGAAGTAGGTCTTCGTTCAAAGAGGATATCTGGAGATTTGTTCGTAGGGATGATAGGAAGGCTGTTGATATATATATAAGTATTAGCAGTTGTTTATAACTATCTACAAAAGCGAACCCCCGCAAGAACGATATCGCAGAACCAATAATCAATAAACACATATTATAGCAAAAAGCAAAACTTGATCGCCCATATTCGAAGACTTAAAAGTAAAAACTAAAATAAAATAAAATAAAACAATAGAACCCACCAAGCGGAATCCGCAAGCCGGGAATCTGATCCCCTACATCCCAAGCTGGCAGACTGAGGTCATGTACATGTACATGCAGCAGTGGGACCCGCGAGAGCATGGAGCTAGACGACGACGTCGAAGAGTGTCCTGCAACACTTGGTCGAAGCCTTGCTGGGCGTTTCATGGCTATGAAAAAGACGCAGCCCGAGAAAAGAATACAGATGCGAGGGAGCGGGTATTTATTTATTCCATGGACAGTTCAGGGTTAAGGGGGGGGAAAATAAAGAATAAATTGAAAAATAAATAAATAAATAAAACATCTAAAACATTGAATTATAAATGTTTAACAGCTTAAAACAGAAGCAGAAGCAGAATGAGATATAGTAAGGAAGGGGAGGAGGAGCGGATGAGAAGAGGAGAGAAGGAAGAAAAATCACATTCTCTCTGCTAAAAGAGCAGAATAGCACATAGATAGAGAGAGAGAGAGAGACGGATTTGGTTGGTAGTGAGTTTCAAGAAAAATCCAGACCAGCTGAGACGTAATATACACGGAGTATATGGTATAGAGAAATCGAACTGGTTAAATGGTTTTTTTTTTTTTTTTTTTTTTTTTTTTTTTTTTTTTTACAACGACAACCGAGAAAGTGGAAAAAGAAAAAGCGCAAATGGCGAATGGCGAATGGTTGCAAGATAGATCGGCCTGGACAGAACCTCACTCACTAACCTGGCGGGGTCCAACTGACTCCCTAGCTTTCTCACACCGACCGTCGTTAGCCTCTACAAACGCCACCAACTGGCAACCAGCAACAGCCAACGAGCGCGGGGAACTACTCATCAATGTCATCATCCATGGATGTGCTGATCACGGCGAACCGTCTGCTAAAATGTCTGGACTAATGAGAAGAAGGAGGGGCGGACGATACGATCCACTTAGAACGCGAAATCGATGGGGCCCGTTTGCAGTTAACAGCTTAACATCGAGGAGATGGGCGGTTGTGAGCTAACGGGGAATAAATAATCAGGCCTCGGGACTGTGGGGTAAATAATTAACTCTTTGAACTCTGTTGCATGCGTTGCCCAGGAGAGGAGAGTTGGATGAAGCTCGGTGGTAGAGGGAGGAGTTGTGAAGAACTTGATGCAGTTTGACTTGGCCCTGATACTGATGGTCTGAGAGAGTTAATCTAGTGCATTTAATAGCTGGCCCCGAGGACGACTTAATTACAAAATAGAGATACGACTAGACAAGAGAGTAGCGGAGAAGGTAAAAACAAGAGAAACATAAATCTCAATATAAAATAAAACATGCGAGAATTAAACGACAATGACAAAGAAAAAGAGACCGAGCAATACAAAGGAGAACCATATGTGGGAGAGAGAAGCCTCATGTTAGCTTGTCAAGTACATAGTACATAGCAATACATTAAAAACGAAAGGGAGAATAAAAACCGGAAATTGTTAAAACCCAAAAAACCCCGCCACCATTTGACACAAAAAAGATCACAACAAGATGATGGTTAAAACAACAAGAGAACTTGAAATTGAAAAGAGGGGAAAAGAAGAATGTTGAAAAAAGATTGTGGAATGTGAATGGGCCAAGGAACGGGAAATTGCATTCTGGGTATATCCTCCTTTTTGCCAGGACAAAGAAAGCTTGAAATAAGAAAAGAGAAGAAAAAGAAAAGAAAAAAGACCAGAGAATGTCGTCTCCGAAGCGCTTGGACTCGGAATTTATTCGGGCTGGAAGAGGTTCAATTTGCCCTCAGGACTGGCTCCAATAATAAAAGCATTCCCCAAGGGGTGGAGGGAATGTGGTGTATGTTGCAAGAGAGCAAAATTCGGAGGTCGCAGTAGTTCTTACAAAGCTGCAGCCTCAACCATTAACTGTTCTCCCTCATCAAGTAGATTGGTCACCTTGGCCAGGTTCTCAATCATCGTCTTGCCATACCCAACAAGTAGAAGCTTTTCCGCATTGGCCGGTAGTCCCAAATATGTCGGTGGTTCACGTTCAGGCAATTGATTGACCCATTCAGTAAAGTTTCGCATACTAGTACCCGAGGGTAGCTTGAGGCAATCATCATCTTCAATGCCAGGCACTAGGTTATGTTCATCTTCGAAAGCGGCTGGAGTTAGGAGGCTGTTGACAAGATTTTCAAGAAGTTGGAAATCCCCGCTGTCGTCGATTTTACCACCGTAGGTTTCGGTAATTAGGGTGCGGAGCAGGTCCCAGGGGAATTTCTGCGGTGCAACGTTGGAACGGCCTTGAGCAATCGAATCGACCCACGTGTCGAGTATAAATGCGGAACATTCATACTGTTGAAATTTTTGCGATATTAGTGATATGCTACCAGTAGGAAGGAGGTTAGTGGTAAATAGAATGAAACCTACATCGCTATCGTTGAATTCCCAGAAACCCTTCCATCCCATGCTAGGCGCGTACCGTAGTCTCTCTTGAACAACTGCATGTAGGAATGAGAGCAGCAGATAGATACGGGCTTTCTCCACAGGAGGTTTGCTGGCTCGGATGGATAAGGAAGAGAGGGAATCCTTCATATTGGCGCGTATGCCCGCTGGTTGTTCGTACATCAGCACGCGGGAAGCTCGAATTAAATTGACGGGTATCTTAGGACTAGACTCCATGGACAGGAAAAGTCTGAAATTGCTGTGAGGTTTGAGAGAGTCAAGACGTTTTTCAAGACTCTGAAGCCAGGACGGCGCGAGATGTACGTTCTTGACAAGGACCCAGGTGCCAGTTGCAGCCGCGTTGCTGATGGCTTTGTCTGCGCTTTCAACTCCCTCATTTGAGCCCATGGCGATGTTTGCACAGGTCGCGTGCATCCGTTCGACAAGTCCATCTACCTTGTAACTGGCATCAAAACCAGGGCTCGAGCTGAGGGAAATCGGGGCGGTTGCAGTAACTTGTTCAACAACATCCTTAAGATCTCCGCTTCCGTCAAAGAGATCCCTTCCAAAGACTTCGGTAACAAATCTTTCGGCAGTAGGGACAAATCTGTCAACGCGGAAGAGTTTCACTAGGAGAAGCGACCGGAGTTGCTGGTCACGGGAGCTGACGTCTTCCTCCCAGACAGCAGGGACAAAGTTTTCAGCAAACTCTTCTGTGAAGAATTTCTCCCAAGCCTCTGGAGGAACCGATGGGAAAGATGACTTGAAGATCGACATCTGCGAAGCAGTCGCCATTACGGAATCTTTGAGGTTTCTGTCTAAGGAAACATCGCACCCCTCGACACTCATATCCAAGATTGTGTCAATGATCCCCTTATCCATGGAATAGGGAGATGCTTGGGCTAAAAGCATGGCGAGGGTTATTCGGTCCTTCTGGAGAAGACCAAAGGAAGTCCTTTGGTAGGCAGTAATGAACAGGTCACGGAGGATGATGTTGACTCTTGCAGCATGGTCCTTTTCCTGGGCAAGACGTTTATTCTGATGGAGTACCGTGTTAAAGATGTCGACAAAGTACTGCAGAGAGAATTGGTAGAAATGATTGAGATGGTGAAGTTGTTCCAGAACAGCGAACACGGCACTGCATGACCGCGCAATAATGTTGTACTGAAGCGTAATATTTTCAACTTCGGTCATGACACCTTCGGTCTCGACCATCTTATTCGAAATTTCACCAGCTTCCTTCTTCAATGTCTCAAGGGTTTCGATAACATTGTCGTCATCGAGGATGTTACCCCTGGATTCGTTCAAGGCTTGAAGAAGACGCTTCTCCAATTGGCGCAAGTGAATCTTAAATTCACCTTGGAGTTTAATGAGGTTAGTTCGGCGTTCATCAACATCGGGCCGTTCGAACTTAAGCACTTCATTAAGCGACTGAGTCTGGAGACTGCTCTGGGTGACAGTGAAGTTAACGAAGGTTGTTCTACTGCAGATGTCTGGCGCGAAAGTTGCAGACGGGTCTCTTGTCGATAGGAACAATTTGAAAGCGGGCGAAAAGTCAATTTCCTGCCTTCCCAGCTGGATGAGGACACGGCCTCCAGTCTTTTGGTATTCTTTGTTGAGAACGTGATTGAGAATTGGATCCAGGTATTCAGCATCTTGGATAAGAATTGGGTTTCCAAACCGCAATGCGCTCTCCAGCTGCTTGATAAACGAGTCGTCTAGGAAGCTAGTAACTGTAAGTTTGCGGTCTTTGCTTTCTTTCTGCAAAAATTCGGTAACACGGCCAGAGGGGTCGATGATAAGAGGATATCTATTGAAGCGTTTCAAGATAATAGCGTTTTCCGTGCAGAGGTCGTCAACCGGAAGCGAATGGTCTTGCCAGGAAAGTCTCTCATCTGCATTCGAGAGGTACTCAGTGATGGGATTGTGGGGCTTGAAGCTGATACCTGACAGGCTTAGTTGGTACACCCAGTCATCGATCATTGCCTTTCGGAACTGTTGATCATATAAACCGCCATATGCGAGGAAGGCCGCGGCAATAAGGACATCTCCGACTAGGGTGGATATCTGCGTCTCGAAGGACTTGCTTCCTTCCTCCCAACGAGACCTTTCAGAAGACAGACTGTCCAGCAAACGGACACTTCTATCGACTTTGAACTGGACACGGGACATTTCGGTCTTAATGGCTTGGGTTTCGCTAATAAGTCCCGCATACTCAGTCTTGTATGTGGCAATGCTGCTCTCCAAAGTGTTGATAGTATTCTCGATGGCCTGTGCTTCCGCCTTGGTTTGCAATGCCTGTTGTTCTAGTTGATCGACTTCGCCTCGGAGGGGCCCAACTCTATCCAGGATTTCGGAGTAGTTCACCTGAGCTTCAACCCACTTGACTAGGGGACCGCAAGCTTTGCTAGCGTGGTATACTCTCTCGAATGTGAATTCGTCTTTGGAAAGGTAATCCACATTCATCTTGTTCCTCAGGCTGCGGGTCATCTGTTTTTCGTTGTTGTAATTGACAATACTTGCAATAAAGTCATCTCTCCGAATGATCGCCTGGATCGTTTTCCAGCTGTCCACTTTATGGCCAAGCAGAGTGCAAACCGACTCCAACGCGAGCCGAACACTTGCAGGCGGACTTCCCATAGCACGAACTTCAGTGAGGTGCTGTCGTTTGATATTGCTAACACTCTTCTGGGCTTCAAGGACAGCAGGTTCAGCTCGAGCCAGATCGCCCAAGACAATTTCCTTTCGACGAGCTACTTCCTGCTCTTGCTTTTCAAGTGCCGCCTGGATTTCAAGGGAAGCGGCTTTACGTCGTTCGGCCTCTTGTTGGTCGGCAACCATCCGCTGCAGTTTTTCATTTGCTTCCACATCCTTCTGTTCGAGTTGACGTTTCTTCTCGGCAAGGCTTTGGCGCAATTCGCTGACCTTCTCCACAGTATCGCGGAGCTTCTCGAGACCGACGTTCAGATGGCGCTGTTGTTCTTCCAAGTCTTCACGTTTTTCATTGAAAAGTTTCACATATTGAGCGACGAAGTCAAGGTAATGGCGTGGCGTAAGGTAAGTGATTCGACCTTGCTGCTTTTGTAGGCGTTGGTTGAATTTCTGAAGAGAGTAATGGATGTAAACCATCGAGTTAATGATGGTGTCTCGATGTGAAGCAGGAAGATTAAGACCACGATAAGCGACTGGGATGCTATCGGGGGCAACGAAGTTGGCCTTGTCAAGATCCACAGATTGAGTAAGCTCAGAGCCGACTTGGAAGAGAGCTTGGTCAGACCAGTCGCCGAGCCAGTTAAGCACGCATCGATTGAAAAGCGCAGGACTTGTTGCAGCTTTCGAAGAGAGGCCATCCTCGGGGGGATTCATGGTAAATACAACATGGAGATTCTTGACAATTTGTTGCGTGAACCATTTATAAAGCTCCTCTTGAGAATCTAGCAGAAGCCCTTGTCTCTGCGCACCCTCCTTACAAGCTGTCATCAACGATGCAAATTCATCGCCTTCGAAGAGGCCAGGAACTTCCGCGTTGGCGAGAAGAGTATTCATCCGTTCGAGGAAGCCGGAATCAAGAACGTTGGATTCGTCCATAATGAAGCATATCTTTTCACCCTTGCATCCTGCTCGGCGCAGAACACTCCTGAGATCCTCATCGAAATCTTCGGCTGAGTACTTGCCGTGAACCTTGATCTGGAAGACTTTCAACCCATTCATCCAAGCAACGAAGCGGGATAATGTCGTTTTACCGCTTCCGCTTACTCCAATGAGGATGAGATGTCCTTGGGGCTGACGGAACACACGATCGATGCGGAGAGCATGCTCTAGAACATCATTAAATAGCACAAGAGGCACGTCAACCTCTTCCTCACAGAAGGTCTTAAGTCTTGCTTTGACGAAGTCGCGAAGCTGCTCTTGTTCAACCGGGACATAGTGCTTAGATAGCCAGTTCGAAAACAAGATAGGCGCTTGTAATGCCTTCTGTTCGTCCATTGTCGGGAAGTTCTCGAGTGCAATTCGCTTCACAGCATCCGAGGTCCATGCTCTCTCCTCTTCATCGACAAGTCGATCCTGGAACAAGCGCAAAGCTTCATGGGCCCAGATCCGAACGAGACCCTCGAGAGACAGCGTTTCCAAAGGTTTTATTGCTTCATAAACACCGCGAACCCATCTTGTGAGTTCTCGGGGGGAGTAAACATAATGAGGTTGGATCTGTGTCGTGAATCTTGTTTGAGACTCCAGGTAGAATTGAACCATAGCCTTGGTTAAAGCTTCAGAGTATCCACGGAGTAGAGGTATAATCTTGAGTACGGCAGAATTGAAAGTTCCATAAATCTGCATAAGAGAGAGCTCCCCAGGGTAATCAACCATAATAAGCGGGGCATGACGGAGGAAACGCTCGCCAAGCGGAGTACGGCCAGCGTCAGTCGGAGGATTACAAGCACCGACGAACTGGATGCGATCTAAGGTCACCCAAGTTTTGTCTGTTGTCCGCCAGAAACCGTTTTGCTCAACAAGCTGTCTAAGGAAGGAAATTGCGCGTTGGGTTCCGTATTGATCAGGGGCCGGAAGATTTATTTCGTCACAGAATATCACCAGCCAACGACCAATTTGGTTGGGTGACATAACAACACCATTGAGAGTTTTCTTGTACTCGCAGTATTGTTCGAACGTCTTAATAAGGAGATCCGGAGTCGTAGCACTAGAAAAGTTAAGTCCAACCACCTCCATATTTGGAAGTTTTCTCAAGGCAGAGAACAACGTCATGGTCTTTCCGGAACCAGGAGGGCCACAGAGTAGGAGTGGTTTATGTTCCGCAAGCCATGAATAGAGTACATCTTCATGGCGCACTGTGTCCAAGGTAGGAATAATGACATCCGTTTGCGTGATGGAGTGAGTATTTATCTCGACAGATGGCACTTGTGATTGCCAACTCACCCATTCAGCTTTGGGAAGTGAGACGTCAAAGTCTATGAGGGACGAAGTTTCGTTGAGTAAGGGAGAGTCAATTGTCGAAAATCCCGTGACATATTGGCCAAAAGATTTTCGGTCACCTAAGGGGCAGTCACCCGTGAGAGACCAAACAAGGGCAAGTAGAAGCTTCTTCGACATGTAGGACTCGGCTCTCTCTGGGTCCAATGGGAAATCAATATGCTGAATATTGTACTCAAGGATATTTCGGCAGGACTTGTTCAATAAACTAAAGAGGGTATTAAGAGCCCGAATATCACTAAATTCCATGATGTGGTTATATTTCTTTGCCTCTTCGAGCGCTTTGAGGATGAGGTCATCGCTCTGGAGGAGACCCTCCAGCAAGTTTGCAAGCATCCTCTGAGTTTCCAATGTCTTTGCGGATGATTGGCCAGATGGAACACTATCATCATCAAGGTCTTCAAAGGTTCTAGTTTTCAACGACTCGACATAGTTGGTCACCATCATATTCGGGGTTACTGTGTCATCGCTAAACCAGACCATACCGCATCGACTAACAGTAGCAAGAGTGGCGTATTTAAGGGTCTCAACTTCGAACATAATCCGCACATTTGCAGGCAGATTGAGACGTTCACCGTTTGGAAGAGTGAGTAGTTTGTTGTCATCCAACACGCTGTTCAGGTTCTCAACCCACTCCGGGTCAACATCTCCATCGAAAACAATCCAGTGTCGTTTTGAATCCTCCCCTCGAAGGTTATCGACAATTTTTCTTAAAATTCCGGTGAAGAGACCATCTGTCCATTCTCGAGTAGTGCTTTCAAGGTTACCATAGAGGGCCTCCTTAGACATGACCTTCGAGTCTATAACATGGCAAACTCCTTCTACCCCCTCCACTCTCTGCATTGCCTCGAGCAGCGTCTTCCAGGCCGCACTCTTGCCCGAACCCGATCTCCCCACCATCATGACACCGTGGTGGATGCCCTGAATCTGGTAAAGCTGCAAAGTCTTCGCGATCCATGTGTCACTAGCAACGTAATGATTTTCCATAGCGATATCGCGAATGGCCTGCGCCAGCTTCTCGAAGTTAGCCGGAACATACTCAACTCCAGGGAAGTCTTCAACCTGGATCTCCAACATAGTCTCAACATCTTCACGAATCAGTTTTGGCGCGATTGTCTCCCTAATACTCTGGACGATAATTTGGGGTTCTATAATTTCATTGGGTCCTAGGTCGCCATCGGAATTTGCAAGCCTTAACCGCTTCAGTCCACCAGAGCTGACAAGCACACTCTTCAAAGCACGTAGACCAAAGTCATAGTGGGCTTGCTTCGTCAAGCGTTTGGCGCAATGCTCAAAGAATGGCACGGTTTGTCTAGATAAAGGCTTGGCTTGTTTGAATCCCTGGGAAAAGAGCATGACCTCAGCGATTAATTCCTTATCGGGCTTAGACATAGCGACGCTACGGAATAGCTTCTTCAAGTTGTCGGGAAGGTTAGATCGTCCAGCGTATCCAGGGTTCATGGTGATGAAAATGCCCGTGTTCAAGTTGACCCGTAAGCGGCGACCTACAAGCTCAATTTGAGCCTTTTCCTCATCACTACTATTTTTCAGCCCAATCTGGATATTTTGAATTTGTTGCGAAACAGCAGATAATATCCTCTCCTCCAGACGGTTAAACTCATCAAAACAACCCCATGCACCCACTTGACAAATACCCAAGAATATTCTGCCCATGGCTTGGAAGTCAAATGTATCGTCACAGCAGAAAACAAGGGTAAATCGACCCAGCTGGAGGCCCAGAGCTTTGACTGACTCGGTTTTTCCGGTTCCAGCCGGCCCGTACGGAGAGCCACCCAGTCGTTGACACAGCGCTTGAGTAAGTGTCAAGAAACAGCGATCTGTCAAAGGAGTTCGTACGAGGCGCTCGGGAACACCAAGGTATTCGAAGCCATAATCCAGCTTCGCGTTGGCCATGTGGACGTGAAGTCGTTGTAGGAAGTCTCCTTGAGACTGGTATACATAACGCATCTGTAGAAGCCAGAGGTAATGTGTTGGTGAGGTGGCGTTGTGCTTGATTAGCTTGGCAATAGAGTCTCGTTGATGGACAAATTCCGTAATCAGATGTTCACATTTCTTTCTAGTGATGGGGTCCAAATCTCCCAGGACGGTTACGGCAAGCAGGTCCAGAACCCGCACCTCCGCATCGTAGAGCGCGGGTAAGCCACTTCCACCCGCCTCAAGGGCGGATTGGACAGCCTGGGTCCAGACGGCTTGGCTGCTAAGAACGACAATCTGAGCGGGATAGTTGGCAATGAAGTCGCTAAATGCAGTTTGGTCGACTTCGGGGGCGTGATAGATTGGTTCAAATTGTTCAATAGCCTCCGCAAGCAGTTCGGCCAATGTTAGCTTCATATTAGTATCCAAGGCGCTAAGCCAGTCATTGATCCTTGGTGTTTTAATAGGCGAAACCTCTCGCTTCAGTCTTACTTCCTCCCCTTCCTTTGAGCTGAATCCAACGATATTCCCGTCGTCATCCATCAACAAGCCAGACAATCCAGCAAACATCTTCTTGAAGTGTTTGGCAACACGGAGAGTGTCGTTGCTGTTACCAATAATTTCCAGGAGATCCTCATCACCAACGAAGTAGAATCTTGGAAATGACATGCGTTCTCGCTCCAAGTACTCTCCAAGAGCCTTTTGGATTTTGTGAAGAAGCTCCGCCAATCGCTCTAGGGACTTTTGGACTCCAGTGATAGCAAGAATATCTAGGACGAATGGAGACTTGTAGACCTTCTTCATGACAGCGAAAAACTCGGAATTGATATTTTGGAACCGGCCAGACTCGACAGGGAGCAAATGTTTGATATCCGCATTACCAGTGAAAACGCCCTCAAGATATACCCACTGTCGTTGAACATCAATCCAGACATCGAAGAGAACATGGACTCTGTTTAGTTTATCTTCCCAAGAACTAGCTTCTTCCTCGAACTCTTTGTAGTAAGGTGAATGCCTCATGGCTTGAAGAGAGTTGAGGTTCTCGCTGCATTTAGCGAACAGGTCGTCGAAGCCCTTGATCAAGCGGCATTTGTTCTGGTAGTTGACAAGATCGAGAGAATAATTTTGCCATGTTTCCCGAACCATTTTCAAGAATTCTTCTAGAGCCATTTCGCCCTGTGCTTGGGCGATGATATCACGAATAACGGGTTCGCTGGAAGCGAGCTGTAGATCCCAAACGTCACCAAGTGTTAGGGAAACTTGGGAGAACCGTTTGCCTGGCTTAAGGGCTTTAAAGATCTTTTGCCAGTGTCGCTCTCGGACAGCTTCGGACTTCATATCTGAAAGCAGAGGATTGACTTTGAGGAGCTGGCGCAAAATGGTCTGGATGTGCTCAAAGGCAGCATATTGCCGCATCCGACTGGGCATTTCCTTTGTCATTTTGATAAGTCCATCAAGCGATTGGCGAAGTTTTCTCGGTTGGACACTGTTCCAAAGCACGTCCCTAAGTTCGTTCAAGCTTTTCCAGATCGTCGACAATGCTGCCCAGACTGACATAAAGTCCTGCACTTCTTCAAGAACAGCCACAAGAGCCGTTTCCGGGCTCCCGGGCAAGTCAAGGGCCTCCTTCGCCTTCGTGACCATTTCTGATTCAGAGCGGAGGTTTTCCAATCGGGATTGGAAGGAGCTTAGTGTTCTTGAAGCCTCCTCCGGCGGGATAGAGCCGGATACTGGCTTCTCCTCATTCCACTGGTTGATTATTTCGGCGATCTTGTTACTAATCACACGGTCCTCTGCAATGATCTTCGCCTGGAGAGCATCAGTCTGGTCTTGCACGATCTTGCTCTTTCGTTCAAGAAGCTCGCTGAGCGCGTTCCAGTCATCCCGAACTTGTTCAACATGTAACCAGTCGCTGGGGAAGTGGTAACGTTGTCGAGCCAAGGTTGCCTGACCCTGGAGGAAGAGTTCGACTTCCGGACCCCATACTCGCGCCTTTCGCTTGCACTGTTGAACGCTTGTGATGAACGACACGGCGTGTGCAGTTGACGACGCTTCCAGTGTCTGGCTTTCCAGGTCTCTCTTGGCAGTGACAATTTCATCATGGACTTCGCGCATTCGAGTAGCAAATTTCCCACCAAATTTGTGCAAGATTTCATGTTGCCATTGGTCATATCTCGCGTTGACCCTTGTCTGCACTTGCTCGTAATCGATTCTAACATTGCCGAAGGATTTGCCAACTTCAGAGGTATCGAATGTCGCGCGACTTTTACGGATTTCCTGTAGAAGTTGCAGCCATTGGGACAAGTCGTCACCCAGCACGTCATACACCTGGGATGCCTGAAGATCCCACAAGGATTGGAACTGAAGCCATTTGTCCACGTAGTCCGAGATGTCGTCTAGCCTGGCCCCAATTACAGTATACACTTCGACTAATTCACTAGTGCAGTATTGAGGGAGATTTGTGAAGTGGGTTTCGGATAGTCGAGCCTTCTCAGTCTCAATTGACATCTTGTATCGCGCCGACTTAATTTTTTCCAGGTTGCAAAGAACGCCAACCCACTGGTCGAAGTGTGCAAACCAGCTAGCTCTTGCGTATTCGAGAGGAGGATCCAGGCGAAGTACTTGATTTCTCATGGAAATCTCGTGGAAAAGCTTGGGGAACTCAATCGTGTATGTTTGCGTTTCGGCATCATTTGCTGTCTTCGAGATTGGAGCATACGGCCTCCGTTGGACACCGTTCTCGTCATATTTGATTTCTTGGAAGGCTATAATCCACTCTCTTATCGCCCGATGTAAGCGTTCTTGTAGAATGAGTTCGATTGTCTTGTTCATATTCGAAACCCAATAGCCGAGATTCACATAGTTCTCCAGATTCAGCTTATCGACAGAATTCTGGATTTCATCCAGTCGCTGGCGGAAGATGGACGCATCATAAGGGCAAGTCTTAAGGTCGGCAATGGCCTTCTGAATGCTCTCGTTAATTACAAACAGTGTTGACGTTTTCGACTGAAGGACAAAGGCAGAGGCAGCGAATTCGCGAACAAATTGGACATGTTTGCTTTCACTTCGACCCTGGGCCAGTGAGGGATCAACTGCCCCATTAGCCATCACTTGCTTGATGTGGAGCTCATAAGAATGAATAAATGACTCCCAGCGCAACGGAAGGCCCTTCATAATTAAAGCCTGGACATCATTTTTGTAACCGCTCAAAAGAATGGAGACCTCTGCCATAGACGAGATCGAACGCATTGTTTGTAAGACGGTTCGAACACTTTCAATTAAGCTAATGGCATATGGGTACACTCGTTTCGCTTCTTTGGAGATCGTGTTGATAGCATGAGGAACTTGGTAATTGAGCCAGACAAGGTTTCTAACTTCCTTAAAAAGCACAATAATCTGCGGGTCGAAATTAACGTCAAGCTCAAGAGTATTTCCCGTGGCACGATTGCGGAAGATCTTAAACAGCCGGCCAGAAATCGTAATATTTCGTCGTTGAACATCCTGTAACCAGTTCTGGAATATAGGTCGCGTGTCAAGCTTCTTTCGGAACATGTTACTTTCAGCTTGGAGTTTCTGCCCTTCAGCATGCAAGTCCCAGTCTTCTCCTAGAACGTCTTCGACTTTCCTCATATAGCCATCGAGTTGCCGCTCAATCTGACGAGCCCAGACGATTGCACCGGATACCGGGGGCAGATCTCGCAGTTGCGCCATTGGGTGTGCTTGGGAATGGCCATACTGCTGCTTGAATCTCTCGTGCAGTCTTGCGATATCGTTCTTAACTAGTTCGATCAATTCAGATTGGTGTATACTAATAGCGCTTCGAATCTTGGGTCGAACGAGCAAGGCGTTGAATTTCGAAAAGACGCGGAACATCTCTGTGGCATTCTTCGCAGTTGCCAGGCGGTCCTTAAGTCGGGCAATTATCGAATTTTCCACTCTAGAAGTGCGTTCATTATACGAGGCTTCGGCCTGGATCCATATCTGAGTACCTTCTTCAGATACATCGAGAACGTCGACATCTTTCAAGGACGCATAAGCTTGAGAAACTTCATCCAGGGCATCGACATCGCCGATTTCCTCCACCACCATAGCTCCATCGGCATCAGCACCTGACGACATGCTGGCGTTGGGTCCAAGGACGTTCACGATAGTGCGCTGCAGTTGTTCGTGATTGTTGCGGAAGGTGTTGATGTACTTCAGTCGATCTTGAATAGCGCTGTGTCTTGGCTCAACTTTGATAGAGATGAATTTTTCGTTCCGCCGTCTTATGGCATCACGAGCAACATTCGTGAATTCTTTCACATTCTCATCCCAAGCGCGCCAGATAACCTGAGCTGACCGCATCAAAGCGCGGAATTCCTTAAATCCAAGGTGCATGATAGATCGTCCGTGTATCAGGGTGCGGATTTGGGTATCCAAATCTCCCGATATTGCCTCCACAAGCAACAGAGAACGCTTGATAGGATACGGGCAAATACGGAGTTTCTTGTTCAAATGGGAGAAAATGAGATTCAATGCATCGTGCACCTTCTGCAGGGAGGTGGCTGACAAGAGTTCATCGAGGGGGAAATCTCGCATGAGTTGATTGTATTTCTGAACCGTTTCAGCGGTTTCCTTCAATCCCGTATCTGCCGAAAAGCTAAGTGTTACATTAAACCGTTTTGCATGTCGCAGGATATCCATGGTAAGCTGCACCCCATCACTTCGTAGCTGGTCCTCGATCGCCTCCAGGGCCGTTTCCATTGATAACCAAAAATTGATTTCCTGGATTGCGGATCCCTTGATATCGTCTCTGGACATTTGAGTGGTAGTCTGGATTGATTTGATCCACCCATTCACAATGTTCTGAATGCTGTTAAGGACAATGGTATTTTCAAGCACAGATGCCGGTATGAGCTCAGTAGAAGGTTTAATACCTCGTGCTAGAGCCTCGTCCAGTGCTCCCTGGACAACTTCATGCAAGGGAAGATTCAGCACAGGAATTTCAATGTTCTCCTGTAACTGCAGCAGGCTTGATTTCAGCTCCGCAATCTTCTTCTTTGTCACAGGAACTCCCGTCTTTGCATCGCTATCGCCCCTTCCTTTCACACCGTTAACTGCTTCCTGGCCACTGGTATAGGCATCAAAATATGGTCCCAGAACATGGTTAACAAAGGTATGAAGTGTCTGAAGCGGAGAAACAGTAGTAGTGCCCTGACTCAGAGCCATGTGCATCGGCGACAGGAAGCCCGGAAGATTCGTGGCATGGACTTGGGCGGATATTGGGACATTTGGATCCAAAGGCTGAAGTTGCCTCGTAAAGGCCATCGATGAAACGGTTGTAGGGGTAAGGGATAACTCGAGGGTAAGAGTATAGATATACCTGGTTGGAGAAGCTGTTCAAACAAAAACATATCAGTGTCAGCTCTCTATTCAACTCATGCATCCCACATAGCATAATAAGAAGTAGATAAACATACGGGAACCCTCCTCCGTCCCATTTGTCTGTTCAGTTTCAACAGCATCTTTCTGGACATATAACGCAACCTGAGATTCGGATGCGAAACGAGAGCACCGTTGGATAGTCTCAGGGTACTTGGCCTTGGACAAGAAGCTTCCAGCGCTCTCCAAATCTGTTTTCAGCGCATCGAGCGTACTCTGCAGGGTCTCCGTTAAATATTGGACAACGGTAGCTGGATCAACAGATGGAGGTTGACTGGGCGGCGTTAGGCCGTTGGGCACCCCTGGAAGAATGACCTCCATACTGGAACATAAACAATAAGTATGTAGATTGGTGGATGGAATTCATGAGGGGATTTAGCGGAGGAAGAGCAGGCTCCAGAGCCTATTGCACATCGACCGATATGGGGTGGTCGTTTATTCGTGTTGTGGATAAGTTGTAGATGTGTACCACCGCTGATAGAGGGAAGTGGTTGCAGTGAGCCTGTAAATGAGCGCTGGCTGTAGGTAACCTTTTGGTTGCACGCGGCGTGTTCTTTGGTCACGGGACTGGGTGTCAGGGGCTAATACGCTAGTCCGCTCTAGGCTTAACTCGGTGCCTGCAGCCATTTCGCTGGAACCTTTCGGGCGTGCCTTGCGTATTCAGGCGATGGCGTCTGCAAGTTACTATGCTATGTATGTACGCTGTACGCTGCAACTCCCACATTTCAGGGGAACCAAAATTATATCTGGAAGATTTCATCTGGTTTTCATTCTAGTTTACTGTACGGAGTACGGAGTACATCGATGTCCATTTATTAAGCATCAACTATCTAGCACGCAATTTCAAAAACAACCTTTGGAAAAGAATGCAAATAACTAAAAAGTAAGAAAAAAGTAAATATGGGCTGGCTATCTTGAAACGCACTCCTTAAATCTCCGAATGATGGAAAAAAGAAATCCCGCTCCAAAAAAAGGGGTAAATTAATAATTATCCACATATAGGCTTCACATTCTTGAGACTGCAGTTTTCCTCCTCCCCCTTGTTGACTACACAATCACAACCATATATTTCGCGGAATTTGAATGGAGCAAGTCCTTCCAATTTCGCAAGCGCAGCCTCGCTGGCTTTAATCTTTGCATACCGTACAGATGAAGCAATACCTTCGGCTACAAACTCGTCGTGGACGATAACCGCTGCGTATACTCGTGGCTCTGTGCCATCCACCATTTGCACCTCACCGGCCTTCAAACAGTAGCTGGTGCATCCGAAATCGATCGTTAGCCGGTTGTGAAAGTATGTCTGCAAGTTATGTTAGCCACCGGCCTTGTACATGAATTGTGCGAGGGAGAAGAGGACATACCGTTGGGTGTTTGTTTGCAAAGGTGTCGTAAATGCTCATATCCTCAAAGTACTGTTTGAGGTGTTGCTGGAAGAAATCCTCCACCACCTCAAATTTGAAGTTCGAATCGACAAATATCGCTCCAATGTATGCCTCTAGCATATCCGGCAAGCACTGCAACACTCATCAGCCGCTGACTTCTGTGCTCCCCAAAATTATTCCACCACATACGTACCTTTGGCGGATCACTCGTTGTGGTCCAGGCATCTGGGGAGTTGTTGCTATCAGCCTCCGCAAGTTCAATCTCCTCCACGTATCTAGTGATTTGGCCCAAAAGAGCGTTGCTGAAATATATAAGGTGTCTATGTAACCCTAGCTTAACAGCAACTGCACCCAGAAACTTATTTGATACCATAGCCATCTATTGGACTGTTAGTTTTTAGTCTGTTACTTCAATCTGACTGGAAAAGTACCTTATGTTCTGTGAGCCACTGAGGATCCCGATCTGGATAACGGTGATACAGATATTCAACACAAACCATATCGAGTAAAGAATCTCCTAAAAACTCTAGACGCTGATAGCATGGAACTCTACTCCATGCTGATGGGAACGAAGCGTGTGTGAATGCGGAACGGAGCAACCTTGGGTACCGGAACTGATATCCTAAGCGGTCGCCAATTTGCTTAGCCAAATCCAATTGACCCGCATCCGCTTGGGCGATTTGATAGTCTGGTAGTGAATATAGGTTGACATAACAATTCCACTCCGAAGCTCGGTGGTCGTCGCTGTTCACAAATGTAGTTACTGCTTTGACTGCTGAATCAAACCGATGTGCCTTTCCTCCTGATAACAAAGAAGCGCCGATCAGCGCCTCGCAAATGTCGGCGATCGTTTTGTCGCCCAAAGAATGTTTGTTTTGCGATTCCGATTTGGCTTTTCCTTGGAGGAGCTTAATCCCCTCGGGGTACCAGTTTCGTCTATAAAGCATTATTGTCAGCTGTGAGCACGAAAATCCAGTTACGGGCGCTTTGAAAAACGGACCTGGAAAACCCCTGTGTGCGGATAAACTCGTAGAGTTTAATTCTAACAGCAGTATTGAACAGATTCTGATTGCATATCAGACACATTCGTTTAACGTGAAAATCATATTCGTCGTTGTCAGGGTTCATGGCAAACAGCGAGATGGAGGTAGCCATCTTCAGAAAACAGTCTCCAAGGAACTCCAGCCGTTCGTAGTTCTTACCCATGCCTCGTTGGAAATGAATTTGTTCCCCTCGGTGCTCTTCGGTGTTATCTGAGTCCTTTGTAAGGGCTTCCAGAGCGAGATGCGTTTTGATATTTATATGGAGCATGTCGCATGCCTCTAGAGAAATCAAGTAGGACTCTAGCCGACTTATGATGGCCGGGAAAGCGAAGGCAAACGCAGCAACTGGGGCGGGCAACTACGAAAAACATCAGTCTTGAAAATTATCCCCTCATGGAAGCGAATCTTACAGCTGAGATCCTCAGAGGTTCCGGGCAAATATAATAGGTCGTTCCTTCCCCTTTTTCCTGTTCTGTCTCCCTATCCAGAAGATTTCGGCGAAGTCGAACCAATTCAGCTCGAAAAACTGGCTGCTTCCAGTCGCATTCTCCTAGAAACTTTAGACGGGAGTTCTTAAACAGACTAAGACAATAATTCATTATGTTTTCCATGTACCTTCTCTTCGCCATCGTTGCTGGAGGGTGATCTGAGGGGCTTAGGCTCGGTTCCACCGTGGACGTGAAGTAGCGATATCTGCCGTCCCATTTGTCGAAAAGAAATCGGTTTTCCACAGCGCTGGTTGGCATACCGGGAAACCATCGTATCTCGGGATTGTGCTCCACATACTGAAGAATACTTACGTCGAGAAGTTCTCGGGGATCCACATTTCCTGAGATGTCGGTGTCTCCAGAGTTTAACCTTACCGGGCAAAGCCAATAAGTCATCATGGCCGGTTGATATTCGTATACTTTGTGAAAGAGATCTTGGAATATCCTGAGGGTGAAAGTAGTGAGCAGATCCAACTCGGCTTCCGAGACTCGTAACGAGGTGCGCAGGGGAACCGAAATAACATCGACTTCAATGTCATCCTCAAGATACAATGGGAATTTGGGAAACCTTGGAAGGGCATCTCGTGTGAACAAAAGGAGAGGGTGGTATTCTCGCCGTAATTTGCCCGTTGGCCTCAAGGTCAAAAAAGTGGCATATATTTCCTTCGGAATGGTGCCACGAGCATTCTCCCACAGCTTAGGCTTCACAATCATATCATATTGATTTGCTTTCTTCGATTTTATGGCTAATTTCGCATTTCTCATAGCCGGCAGTCTCTTGTGATACTTTGACACGAAATGGTCATCGAGGAGCCCATTCTTTCTAAGCATCAAACATGTTTCGAAAGCAGCAGATTGTTTGGCATGCAATTTCCGTGCCGACGGTTTACCCGTCATGCCCCGGAAAGGGGATTTTTCAGGGAGACTAGCTTCGCAAACAAAGGCACCGTCAATTCGCTCGATAAAGTAATTCACTTGTGCCGACATATCGTTCTCATATTGCTTGGAAATATTAGCCTCAATGTAGCGCCCTCGGGCAGACACTCTTACCAGAGAGCTTGCGTAATGTGCAAGGACAGCAAGGGAAGACTCATAGGTCAACTTTGCGCCTGTGCTGTGGATGGTGAAAGAATTACGGTATCGTTCATTATCCAGAATCATTCCTAAATCATCACTACTACCTCGAATAATCCTGTCTTCGGGGAGAGCTTCGCAGAACCGCCGCATGATATTCTTGACGACGTTAGTCCACCGGTACGTATGAATTCCTAGTTTTTATGCCTCACCTCTGCTCGCTGGACCTCCTCGACACTTGATGAGTGTATAAGATTATCTCGTTCCACCATATGCGCGTACTACGGATTAAAGTTAGATGGGAATGCCAAATCCTGAGCAGAACGTCATACTATAGAGTGGGAATGTCGAGCTCGTCCACGGCTTTGGACATACTGAATCATGGTCGAATTCAGATCGAACCTAGGACCAAGGTGAGTCTCATACTTTTTGCGGATGTAAGGGATTGTTCTCACCTAATAACCAGGTTGCAATCTGGTATATCCAGTCCCTCTTCAGCAACAGAGGTTGCAAACTTCACCCGTTAGAAAAGCGAATAATATCCTCTTGAGAATACGAAAACTCCAACAAGCGTACCAGGCAATTGAGCTCCCCTTTGCGAAACTTCAACAGTGTCAAAAACTGCTGCCGGAAAGAGAAGTTTGCGCCCCCAATTCCGTCATGTCGGACCCCTATGAGAACCCCCGTTCGCATGTGCTGTGTTCCGATCCGAGAAAACAGTTCTGCTAACAACCTCGCTGTATATCGTTGCTGTATGAATACAATACATTTCGTGTCCGTGTGCCGTTCAAAGTACATGGAAAGCTCATGACTCAATAGTCGCACTTTCGAGCTCAGGTGTTCAGTGCAATCAACCGGAGTATAAAAGGCGTGACTTTTGATCAACTGCGCAGCTTCTCGAAGAAGGTCAATCGCTTCGTCAGCTCCTTTGAGCTGATTTCCAGACCTAGATTGCATGTAGCTCTTAGAGATCTTGCCTTCGAGCTTGGGCAATTCTGCCTCGTCCAGAGCGAATGTCCACAGCCAATCCGAACACCATCTCCCCAGTGTCGAGCTTGCCTCCAAGGCAAACGAGAATATCTTTTCCAGTTCACGGATCCTGCCAAAACGTGATTGCATAGATTTGTACAACTCAGTCTCGGAAGGGTCATCAAGTCTATCATATACCCACATCTGCTCATTTGGCCGTGGTATCGCTTGCCGCAAAGCATTTAGGTTGGACGCGGTTGCAATCTGACTGTCAAGTAGTGCCTCAAGAGTCCTAGTCAAAGGGGTTAGCTGAAATAGAAGTCATATGTCCCGTAGAGATACCGCACATTGCAGCTTTTACCACATCCACCTTCGCGTCAACCGGCGATGCCGTCATTCCAAATATCTTGGGTCTGTTTTGAACTACAATCTTTTGCAAATAGAAGTCTTTGATAATCCTATATATCCCGTCAGCTCCGGTAGTAGGGTAGGTCATATATATTGGGTCTCCTTACCTGGCATACGGGTGGTCCTTTTTAGCATGATGGGCCTCGTCGAAAATAAGAAGATTGATCCGTTCCATTTGGATAAACGAACGGAGCAGACATTGATGTAGAACTTCGGCGGTACAGACAATAATCATATTCCTGGAGAAATGCTTGTCCCAGGTATCCTTGCTCCATAAGTCAGTCTGCATAGCTCCGCAGAATTTATCGATATTTTGATCAATATTTGCTTTCAAAACCGCGGCCTGTTGATATACTAGGGTAACGGTATCGACCTAGTGACTAATTTTCAGATATTAAGCTACTCTCTAAACCCGGAACAGCCAGGACAAACCAGAAAGAATGATATACGAGGTGGTTTGCCATTGGCTCGATCAGCTAATTCGTTTTGAATCATTTGCTTAAGCAAAAGCACTGCGATCAATGTTTTACCCGATCCTATGAATGTTAATATCTATAGGAGAATGAAATGCAGCAAAAGACATACCCGTATCCAGTACAGCAATAGTATTCGCCGTCTTTGCTTTCTCAAAAAGTTCCAGCTGATACTCTCTTGGGTCATGGATAACAGAGGTAAAATCTTGTTTGTCAATTAAATTATTCATAGACAGCTCACTATCGTGCTTAGCTCTCGCTGCTCGTTGGATATCCTCCGTCATAATGGTTTCAGTTCTGCTGGACAGACTAAATAATAATACCGTCCATCAGAAAATGCAAGGTTCAGGGAATAAGGAGATACGCACAGCGCCTTGAATTTGGCATTTTGCTTCTGTCGTCGATGTTCTGCGTTCAGCGGAGCCTGATCAGAGTTTTCTAACTCGTTATTTGATCCCTCTGGTCCTGAAGCATCATCATGCCTCCCGGCGGTCTGGTCTATATCCATGGCACTCATCGCTGCCCCTGCCTTATTAATCACCTTGTCCTGACACGAGCTTGGAATGGAGTCGGGACTAGCCGCAGTGCAGAAGGTTACCTATCTTGAAGGGTATGGTATAGAGCAAAGGAATAGAAGATTCTGTGCCGCAGACGTGAAGGAGGGGGGAAAGTACTGTACCTAGGTACAACAAGTAGTGGACGCTATTCGATGGATTTTTGAAAACAGTGAAAAGAAAAGATAGAAAAGAAGTCTGAGATAAAGTCAAAGAATAACATTAAATAAATTGTAGCTTTATCTAAAGATAAGCAAACAAAGCAGTATGTATCAGTATCAGCTGCAGGAAATGTTGGACGACTAACTACACTGTGTTTGCTGTCGTGATTAAAGAATATCAAAGCGGGAAATAACATAAAAATATAAAAATATGTTTAATCTCACTAGCTGAGCGGATACATACACCATATTCATCGGAATATGCACCTTATGAGAACAGAGTATGGCAATGCAGGTTAATAGTTAATGAAGGCTTGAACCGTGAAGTTGCCCCGCACATACGCACGCATAGTATGTCTAGACACATTTGTCACTGTAGACTGCCGTAATATTAGTTAACTAGTTACCTAGGTAACAAGGTTAGAAGGTTACCTAGATAACCTTCTAACTAACTCATCACATGACCCCGATCTCCCGCATGGGGAAAGTTCACAAGCAACAGCAGCTACAGCTACACACATTCTAACAGCGATATCTCTCATTATTAAGGACCTTCAACCTACCATTACCTCCCGTATATACATGTTTCAGTAGCTTAAGCCATGGATTCACAGCCCGAAACCCTCCACGCCCTCTTCTCCCGCGCAAAATCCCACAGGAAAGCTCTAGACTCACCAGAATCAGAAGATCCCCCACCTCTTGGCGACGTGATAGCAGAATTCGAGGAATGCCAACGGCGCATTGCCCAGCTCTCCCTCTTCAGTACCAATGAATCATTAGATGATGTTACCACCGGGGACCTACAGTGCGTAATCCTGTCTATGTTCTAAATTATTATTATTATTATTATTATTTTTATTTTTTTAAGGAGCAAGTGAGGCTAAGAAAATGCTCCAGGTACCTGACCGTTGATTATATCCTTGCCGATCTTCTCCAAAAGTCATACGACACCGACCGTCTTAAAAGTCTCCAGCGGTCGCAGGACGAATATGAAAAGTACCTAGAGAGCCTAGATCAATATGGTCTCCTCTCACCGGAGGACAAGAAGCTCTACGAACGATATACCGAGAACCCCCGCTTCTTCAGCATAGCTCCATTAAATGATGCAGCGGCGCGGAGAAATATCAAAGTATCCAGGTTTCGAGATGAAAAGGAGCTGAAGCAGCGGCTAGAGGTATATATGAACTATAATCCACTCCGTGTTTGTCTCTGACTCCTCCGCTTGTACTCGTGCTAAATATGACTTCAAAAATTGGGCAGTATCTTTCACAAAGCCAAAACAGCTTGCAAGCCGATGAAGATCTAGCTCGACAATTATATCTAGCTGAAATTAAACTCTATACACACCAGACATTCCAAGCCCTGGACATGTTATCACAGGAACTATCCATGCTCGCAAGTGCGCAGGGCGCCGCCCCACCCACCAATCCCGTTCACAATAATGATCCTAGACTACGCAGCCCCAGTGATTCATCGGGCTTTTCCGATCGATTGGATGTAGGACTCGCCCAGAATATTCGTGGGGGGAGGACAGGGCCTCTTCTAAGCAAAACCGGCGTACCACTACAGCCATTCGTTCTCACAAGTAAACGCACGGAAATTCGAAAAGGAGTTTTCCGACCCGGCCACAACCTCCCAACCATGTCGATTGATGAATATCTAGAGGAGGAAAGGAAAAGGGGAGGCATCATTGAGGGTGGTGGAGAACAATCCGGCCAGCCAAAGGAAATTGACGAAGATGATATAGAAAAGGCCGATGAAGAAACTATGAAAGCAAGGGCGTGGGATGAGTTCACCGAGGATAATCCGCGAGGGTCCGGTAACACCTTGAACAGAGGCTGATAACTGCGGTCCAAAGTCTTTTGAAGGTGCCATTGACTTTATTCCATTAGCCAATGTCGTCCTGCATTAGCTATCCAGCTATTCTAGGCCCCAGCAACGGAGGAGTAGTTAAATTACTCCTAAAATCGCGATACATTATCAGCGAATGGTTAGGCATTTTCACCACATATTCATGGAATGGAGTGCACGTACACGCAAGGGAAACTTTTGCCTTTCCAATTCTGGCCACTTAGCCAGGAATAATTCAAACAATTCGCGAGTCAGAATTTCATATCCCTTCAGCGGGAAAAACCCCAATGTCAGCTTCATGAATCCCTCCCATCCAGTCCAAACACGCAAAAACAGGGCAAGGGACAGTCAACACACCTTACTCCCAAAATGCAACCCATCGACAAAGAACTCTTTCCCAAACTCCGTCGCACCAGGCAATCCAGAACCCGGAAGCTTCTCCTGAATGTCCAACTCGTGGAATCCCTCCTCCATAACTCCTTGCTCCTTGCACTTGGCCTTCGTAACAGCGGTCCAAAAATCCAGTACCGCCACACGATCCGTTTTCCCTTCAAACTCCTTTCCTATCTCCACAATCTTTTCCGCAAAAAGGCGCTTTGAAGCCCACGTCTTGTATCCCCTGCCTAACTTTGCTATGGACTGCATGACTTCGGCGACTTCAGGAAGGTCATCAGCAGGCTCCATTCCGGGAGATGGTACGTCAACGGGTGGAGGAGTGATCAGTATGACTTTGGTGCTCTGTGCACTGGGGTGGTCCAGGATACTATTCACATAATGTCGGATGTGTTCTTCGAATTCTAGGAGGGGCACGTAAGGACCTGAGGATAAGAGACAGGCATCGTTGGCGCCTAGGAAAATGGTAATGAATAAGGGGGCGGGGGCTCCACGGTCTGTTATAACATTGATAATCTCCCTTTCAAATATGCGACGGAGGGTTTTTGTGGTTTGACTAGATTTGGGAGGGAGATAATTATTTAGATTTAAAGCAATTACATTGGAAACGAAGGGGCGTATGGATATGGGATGGAAGATGGGTATATTTGGACGAGTTAAATCTCAGCAGCACGAAGCAGGGCGAGCAGCATATTTGCTCCCTTCCTCACATAAGGGTACAATGGAACCACCTGGACTATGCTTACCCAGAATATCCTGCGTTAAATAATGAATCAGTCCTATACTAAAAACAAAAATTCCCCCCCCGCGATCGAAACCCTCTAATCCAACCCCCGGGTGTCCCCAATTTCGCTGCTTCCAAAAAAGAAATAGCGCGTAAGGCACATGCATACACACACCTTCATTTACAATCTCAACCCTCCCATGATAATATTCCTCCAACTTCCACGCAAACCCATTATTCGACTCATAGCAGGCCCGCTCAGTCAGCGAGTCTCCGAACAGATAGATGCGTGGGTAATCATTTGGTGTTGAACTTTTAGTCATTGTTTTAATAGTAAAATGAACAGTGGGCGGGTATTAAATATAAATACTAAACGGCGGGGGAAAGTATAAAAGTTGTTGATCGGAATTTGGAGGGGAGTTTTACGCCCAGGAACCAGAGAACAGCTGGGAATTCAGCAGTGGGAATTAGAGGAGATAATGGGAGATGGATGTTCAATCGAATGTTGTCGATTGATTGATGGTATTTAAGGCTGCTGCCGCTGGTCGTTTCAAGCTGCCGGTGTCGCATTTGAGTCACATGATAGAACTCCTTCCAGCAGGCAGAAGGCATCCATTCATATGAAAATTCCTTCCTGCTCCACGGTATGAGAATGATACATAGATGGCTATGGAATCGGATCATGGTCATTATCATAGTAATGCATTGTGGCGCTAGCAAGTGCTATATATCAAAGCTGAATCCTCGCTATAAATATCAGAGGGGAATTTTGGGGTATTGCACAGATGTATTGAACACAAACTCAATAGATATCATATATCAGATAACCGAAGAGGCTGGCTACATAAGACCTAGGCGGCCTGGTCAAGTAGTCAAATGCCCCCGCAGCTACTCCGCTCCCCATGCCTTCTTCCTCTTCTGCTGAATCTCCGCCAGTATTCTCCCAGCACCCAGCGTAACCAACTCATCGGCAACCTGCTTCCCAAACACCTCTGCCTCCTCCCCAGATTTAACATCCTTATCCTTCTCAATCTCCACAGCTTCTTTCCCATCTACACTCGCCACTATGGCCCGAAGCCTCAAATTCTCTTTGCCTTCCGAATCCTGCACCCATTCCGTCTCAACCCCAAGGGGCGCGCTACAACCCCCTTCCAACGTCCTCAGTAGGTTCCTCTCGGCCAAGCACGCAAGAGTAGTCTTCTTATCCCCGATCTTCTCCACCATCTGCTTCATATGTTCATCATCTGCGCGTATCTCAATCCCTAGCCCGCCCTGACCCACAGCATGCAGCATCTTGCCATGCTTCGAGTCGAGGTAGTAGGTGATACGGTCGCCCTGGCCTGTCCGCAGCAGGCCCGCTGCAGCCAGGATGAGACAGCTAAAAGGCCCATCTTCCGCATCGAGTTTTGCTAAACGAGTATCGATATTGCCTCTTACGTCCTTTGCTATGAGTTGTGGGTAGTGTCGTGATAGCTGCGCGATGCGGCGTACTGAGGAGGTACCCACAACGGATCCTGCGGGGAGCTCTGCTAGGGTCATACTTGGCAGGCCCTTCTTGATAACCAGCACATCTCGAGGATCCTCTCGGGGCATCATAGCACCGAGAATGCATGTTTCGGGGATTTGCGTTGGGACATCTGTTGAAGAAGAAAACGGATTGGTTAGCACTACTGGGAAGAAAATTGAAAATAATAATAATAATAATAATAAAAGAGGGACGGAAACAACTAGAAGCGAAGAGAGGAAATGGTAAATTCTTTATTTAAGAGCAAAGAAATAGGCAAATACGGGAAAACAACGCACCTTTCAAAGAATGAACAACAAGATCAATCTGTTTCGCGACCAATAGTTCCTCAAGCTCCTCCGTCCAGAGATTCTTTGACGTGAATTCGCGTAGCGGGGTGACTTTATCAAGGTCTGCTGCGGCGTCCTTGGTGAGGATGTTGAATTCGTATTGTGGCCAGGCGGCTTTCAGGGCGTCTCGCACGAGATCCGTCTGCACGAGAGCGAGTTTTGATCTGCGTGTGCCAATTGTGAAAGTGGTCTTCGTCGGTGACGTTTCCGACGCGGGGTGAGTCTGTGGAGGGGTAGATGTCATTGCTCAAGTGGTTGAGATCGGATATTATTATGTAGTTAACTATTACTGAAGTAATACAGGCTTGAGTGGAGGCATTAACAAGCAAATTTATCTATCAAGAATAGTAGAATATCTGTGGAGGAGTAAAGTGGGTATATTTCTTGAAGCGTTGGACTGGAATGTGATGAGCGTAACTAATGAAATATTTATTTTTGGATGGTTTGTTTAAATATTTAACATGCCGAAAAGAAATTCCGCCACCAAACTCTCATATTAGTTAGTTAACTATACATAACTACAAAGATACAATAACTTATTTACGGGGCTACCTTAGCTGAGATGGTAAAGAGAGGGTGGAGAAATCGCATATTCGACGCCAAAACATTTATCACAAGACAATAATAATAGTAATAGTTAATCTAGATCTACGGATTATTAACTTGTTATCGCCATCTTCACAACTATTCTGGGCTGTTCTGGCGCTGTCAAAATTAACCTCGGCACCAGGCGGGTGGGATAGCCTCAACTTCCTCCGCCGCCGCCGTCGCCGCCCGCCCCCAGCGCAACATCATAAACTCTTGTTGCTCCCATTCCTCAACTCTCCTCCCCCCACTCCCACCACTCCTCGCTGCTGCCACGGTGTTGCTGATCCAACAACTTTCCACTTCTCTCAATTGTCCTATGAGTGGCCGCTGCGCCTTATCTATTCTCCCGTGTTACACCTACTTACTACCTGCTCTCTTATCCCGGCTCTCGTCCCTCTCACAAGGTCTAGCTAGACCTTGCTAGTTGCCTCTGCTCATTCAGTTAGCTGTTATAGTCAACAAGGACGCCCTTCTCCGCATTTTTAGTGCGATAACTATCTAAACCCTCCTTCATACTCTAGAAGAAATCCATCGAGCTTCTGCCATCATGGGTACCAACCCGTCGAGATCAACAAACCTGGCTTTGCTGCCGTTAGCCAGAGATTCTGTCCTACTGCCCGGTGTCACCCTCCGTATTCCGCTGTCAGAGCGTCCTGATATCCCCCTGCTCCTTACCTCTCTCTTCAGCAAAAGCTCGTCGAAGACTGGAAATGCCACTCTTGTTGGCTGTGTTCCTCTCAATTCGCCCTTCCTGAGCAAGGATGGCAAGCAGCTATTGGAAAATGTGGACAGAGCGAGCACACGATCAACAGCTTCTAAAACAGTCGATCCAGCTAAGGCGTCCAGGCACGATCTATTCGGCTATGGCACAGTAGCTAAGGTAGCCGGCGTCCAGGGAAGACCAAACAGTGAGCCATATCTACTTGTGGAAGGCTTGAGAAGGTTTTCGATTCGCAAAGTTACCAAGGAGACACCCTTCTTTGAGGCGGATATCACGATGCATGATGAAATCGGTAAGCAGCCTGGTGCCCATTGTTCAAATACCGTCCATGTATATATAAAATCGCACATAAAACTAATAGATATCGAAAACATAGTCGCCCTTGCCACCGACATCGAAATCGTAACACTCTTCGACCAGGTCAAACGGCTGTCAAGAGAGCTTTTAGCTTTCCTCAGGCTCACGTCCTTCTTTTCCCACCAAGCCAACGGCATATCACCTCTGATTGCTCGACGGTTCGAACTTTTTATTGCCAAAAAGAACATTTCGCAAGCAGGAACACTCGCTGATTTTATGACGGATGTTGTGGAAACTACATTCGAAGAAAAGCTACAGGTTCTGGCTTCGGTTGACCTGAAGACTAGGCTAGAAAAGGTCGTTGAGCTTTTGTCAAGACAAGTTCAAGGCATGAGAAATAATATCAAGGTGACTTCCATCACCACATCGAGTAATCCTTCGAATTTTGGCGTTGATATCAATCAGTTGGACCCGCGGCAAAGAGAACTCCTCTCCAGGCGCTCTATGACGGGAATGAACGGGTTTCCACCTGGGATTAACGGAGGCATGGGGGATGGTGGTGAAGAAAAAGAACCGAATGAAATAGATGAACTCCAGCAGAAGCTTCAAGATGCCAAGCTAAGCCCGGAAGCTCAGAAGGTAGCAGATCGAGAACTCAAACGGCTCCGTAAGATGAATCCTGCCAATGCTGAATATGGCGTCTGCCGAACCTACTTGGAGAATCTAGCTGAGATCCCTTGGACTAAGGTCACTGAGGACCAATTGGGTATCGAAACACTCCAGAGAGCCCGGAAACAGCTGGACGATGATCACTATGGTCTGGAAAAAATTAAAAAGCGCCTACTGGAATACTTGGCAGTTCTTAAGTTAAAGCAAACTCTCAACAACGACGTTGACAATCAAATTTCGAAGCTCTCAACGGATTTGGACGTTTCTGAGAGCCGCAGCGAGGATGAAGCCGAATCTAAATCTGATTTTGACCGGGACGCTATAGAAACTAAGTTACAGCTTCTCAAATCAAAGCGTATGGCAGATAAATCTCCAATTATGCTCCTGGTTGGCCCTCCTGGTACCGGAAAGACCAGCCTGGCCAAGTCAGTTGCCACGGCACTTGGCCGCAAATTCCATCGTATTTCTCTTGGAGGTGTGAGGGATGAGGCTGAGATTCGTGGACACCGGAGGACCTATGTCGCTGCCATGCCTGGGCTGATCGTGAATGGGCTAAAGAAAGTGGGTGTCGCCAACCCAGTTTTCTTGCTTGATGAGATTGACAAAGTGGGCGGTTCCAATTTCCACGGCGATCCATCAGCTGCCATGTTGGAAGTCCTTGACCCAGAGCAGAACCATAGCTTCACAGATCACTACATCAACATTCCCATCGATCTGAGTAAGGTATTGTTCATCGCAACCGCGAACTCTTTAGATACCATTCCTCCGCCCCTCCTAGATCGTATGGAAACGATCCAACTCTCCGGCTACACAACCATTGAGAAAAAGCATATTGCCTCCCGCCATCTCGTGCCCAAACAGATCCGCACGAACGGCCTCTCGGACGGCCAAGTCCTCCTCTCAGACGAAGTCCTCGAGAAAGTCATCACAGCCTACACCCGCGAGTCCGGCGTCCGCAATCTGGAACGCGAAATTGGCTCCGTCTGCCGTTACAAAGCCGTCCAATACGCCGACGCGAAGGACGCTTCCAAAGAAGACACATACAACCCGCATGTCTCCATCGAAGACCTCGACGAGATCCTCGGCATCGAACGCTTCGACGAAGAAATCGCAGAAAAACACGCGCGGCCGGGCATCGTGACGGGTCTCGTCGCCTACTCCACCGGCGGCCAGGGTAGCATCCTCTTTATTGAAGTGGCTGACATGCCCGGCAGCGGCAGTGTGCAGCTTACCGGCAAGCTGGGTGATGTGTTGAAAGAATCCGTCGAGGTAGCACTTACCTGGGTCAAAGCGCACTCGTTCGACTTAGGATTGACCCACGACCCTAACGAGGACATCATGAAACATCGCAGCTTGCATGTGCACTGCCCATCCGGAGCGATCCCGAAAGATGGACCTTCTGCCGGCCTCGCACATACCATCGCCTTGATCTCTTTATTCTCTGGCAAGACGGTGCCACCAGACGTCGCCATGACGGGTGAGATATCTCTTCGTGGCCGCGTGATGCCTGTTGGTGGCATTAAAGAGAAGCTCATCGGCGCGCACCGTGCAGGCGTGAAGACGGTGTTGCTCCCTGAACATAATCGCAAGGATGTACGAGAAGTTCCTGCTGAGGTTAAGAATAGTTTGGAGATTGTGCATGTCAAGTAAGCTCCGACCCCGTTTTGCTTTTGATTTATTGAATCGAAATTGCCTCTTTTCCGCCATGTTCTCCGCCATGTTGCTAACAGTTTTAACCACAGGCACATCTGGGAAGCAATCCGGCACATTTGGCCGCATGCGCACTGGCCAGGCGAACACACGCCGATGCTTGAGAGCAGATTATAATTCCTCATTTTTTCTGACCCTGCGGTTTTACCGTGTGTCAGTCCTTCGTCAATGAAAGAAAGTATCCCACTGAGCAAGATTGCATAATTAGCGAACGGTGTTTGATCTTTTATTTATTGGTTCTTTATTGTTGTTCTTTCCTTTGTCATCCCAATTTGTATTCTTCCATACCCGTTTTTGTCTTTTCTTTCTATATTCCTACAGTACAAACATAATAAGCATTGATTTTTGCAGTGCAACACCCTACTCCTCTCCAATCCCGCGCCTATTTCGGGCTGGTTTTCAAGTTAATTAACCCCTGCGCGTTGCGTCATTCCCATATCTCGTTGAGAGAACGAGGATCCCTTTTTGTGACCACTATCCTAGTTGTTAGTTTTTTTTTTTTTTTTTTTTTTTTTTTTTTTTATGTTGTATGTATAAGTGTTTCTCCAAGTATGTAAGTGATCAATCAATGAAAGGGGTATTTTGGAAAACTGCTATGGAAGAAACGTTTCTGTAATGATTCTCCTGGTTAGCTTCTGAGGGTTTGGGGAGAAAGCGCGTGCCAGGGCCTCTATATACAGAGTTTTACGTCCTACAAACTTTCTGAAATTCCCCATAGTAGAAACATGTCTATTTGTATATCACACTAAATAGAAAATACATAACTGAAACCCATTTGCGGGTTTCCTCCTTTCTGTTCTCGTTTCATATCTAAACGAGGGAGAGACTTACACCTCGAACGTCTTCAACCCACGTGAAAGGATCTCTAAAAACAACAAAAAGCTGCACAAGAAAATAGAAATACCCAAATATCAACCGGTGAAAGAATGTTTTACAAAATAAAAGGAAGGGATCCCATATCCATATACATATAATTTCCCAACCAGCCTTCACCCCGACAAGGCAACTAGACTCACTTCCTCTCCTCCACAGCTTCCGTCACATCCTTCCCGTTTAATATCTCGGTAGGCGTTATCTTCGCACTACCCAGCACGGGTGTGTCATAATTCAACCCCAGCGCCTTCCAAGTCGGCTGCCACTGCTCCTTACCCTCCAGCAACCTCTTCGCCTGCTCAGCTATGGTCTTGCGCTTCTTTTCTGGCAGCGGCTTGTTCTTCGCGTCTGGCGCCAAGCTCTCTGACATTTCCTTTTGGAACTCCTTGGCTTCAAAAAACCTATCCTTCTCCCATCTGTCATGCAGTAAATGAAACAAGCAAGTGGCTGAGTTAGCGGTGGGGCTGCTTCTGCTAGCTGACACGGAAGAGGTAAAAAAAATAAGGGGCAAAAGGGACATACGCGGTATAGTCCTCCGGTTCTTCAGGCCACACGAAGGGTTCCGTCATCTCAACCGTCATCTTCTTCCTGGCCATTGGTCTCCGCCATTTGCCAAACCCGTCTTTCCCGCAAGGCTTCTGGCGCGTGACTTTCTGCTGTTCGACATAGCTTCGCACTTTCAATACGTCCACGCCGTAGACCTGTTTCAGGTAGTCTTTGATGTCCAGTTTGTTGAAGGTCAGTGGGACCCAGAAGGAGGCATAGCGCGGCGGGAGGAATGGGGTGCGGATGAGTGTGATCACGAAGTCGGGTCTGGGTTTGCGTTGCATAGGTTAGCTAGCTATCTCTAAAACTAAGATTTAGGTAGATCCTCCAGAAAACAAGTAGATATAGGAGCATTTATGCAAATAGGAATAACGGTGAATTCCTGGGGGTAGGGTGGGGATCTATACGTACAGATATATCTGCTTCCGTTGATCGAGCGGAATAGGGCGTAGGTATGGGCGAGCGTCTTGGAGGCGCTTCAACCTTTCTGCTACTTTTTTGCGCATGGTGACTTATTTCATTGGCGTACGGCTATGATAAGAGGGAAAAGAGAAATCGGGTCGGGGAAGCGAAGCAATTGGAGATAATCTTTCTCGACATCGAATGATATGTCGAATTGGGTCTGCCGCAGAAAGAGTACCGGATCGGAGACGAAAATGCACTATTGGCACGAAAAGGTGACCGTACAAGTTTATATCCTGCAAGTTAATTAGAGTACGAGTAAGGGGAATATAAAAAGAGGAATTTTACATGAAAACCCAAACAAATATTTTATTAGACCTGATCATCTCATTAAATGTTAGAGCTAATCATTAAAATTTACCCATTATGCATGCTGTCTGAAATCCAAACACCGCCTCTACCCATGATCCCAAACGCCGTAAGTGAGAGCAAAAGTGTATCAATATATTCATGCAGCTTGTGGTTGAGCCTCAGATATCCGGAGCTGCTCGATATCTAGTCTCTGTGTAGATTCGGGCTCAGGTTGCTCTACCTCAGTCTCCTTCGGCTTCTTCTGTATCGTGTTTCCAAAAGCATCCACCTCAGTACCCAAAGACACACTATCGTCCTCGTTCCCTTCCTCTGCCTCAGATTCCCCCTCATCCTTTTCGTCGTCTTCGACTTCATCCCCTTCCTCATCAGACCGTATGTCATCACGCTCTCCACTCCCATCCCCATCTCCATCGACACCCATCTCTTTCATATACGCCTCCAACTCCCTGGCCATTTTCCTTGAGAAACCCGACGCTTCAACCTCAACATCCAACCTCGCACCCCCTTTCTTTGTCCCTACCAATTTTTTCGCATCTTTAAAAAACGGCCCCTTCTCATCACTCACAAACCCAAACCTCCTTTGAAAATACCGTTTAATGCAGTGCACATCTCTGTCAAAATACATGTCGGCATTGGGATGATCCACAGACACCATCTGCGGAAAATCAATAAGGATGGGGATCAGATTGAGATTCTCTCCCTCCTCAGCGCCATCATCCCCTTCCTTCCTCTTCCCTTTTGCCACGTCAGACCCAATCACCTCCTCCTTAATCAAAATATTAAACTCGTTAAAATCACCATGTATAAGCCCCACCCCGGCCAACCGCAGAATCATCTCCATAAGCTCCGAATAAAGCCTGCCAGGATCCGGCACGGAGGAAATCTGTCGCAGCGGGAACGCGTCAATCAAACTCATAACGATCGTATGTCTATTCTGCGCAATGGGTTCGGGGACCGGAAACCCATGATCGTGTAGCGCTTTCATGAACGCAAATTCTTTCATCGCTGCGAGGCGAGACATGTACATCCATGACGCGGAACTGCGGTGGCGCAAGTAGTCGCGGTTGGTCTTGACGGTGCGGAAGGAGATGCGGCCCAGCCGGTGGATTTTGAGGATATGTTGTGTGCCGTCGGAGTTGGCGACGACGATGATATCGGATTCCTTGCCGACGCCGATTTGGTTGCCGACGGAGTATATGGATTTTTGCTTTTGGTGGGAATTTAGGGCGAGGTAGTCCAGCCCGCCGTATGTAAGGCGGTAGCCGTCGTCTGGTAAGAGAGTAGCCGCATTTTAGTTTAAGTGTGCGAGAAATAGACTCAAAAGCGGTGTAATTATGTTTTCAGAAGACCATGGCCATGCACATTGCTTATGCTATACGTACACCTCGCATTCTTAACCCTCGCTATCAGATTAATCTTCGCTAGATTCGATATGCACTTATGCACAATGCTTCCCCCGCGCAACCCGGATAGCTGGACGATTAACGGCGTAGGTACTACTTCATGATTCCGGCTGCCCATTTCAACCTGTGAGAAAAGAGAGCGAGGAGATCATCTTGTCAGTTCTAAGGTGCTAGGAGATGTCTATGAGACAGGGTGCGGGGGGAGGCAAGGCGGAGCTTAAACATACAGCTGCGAGAGTCCGGAAGTCCTCTGCGGCCAGATACCGCATTGCCTTTGGGTCGAGCCTCATTTTGGCAGGTAAGTGACAACAGTTCGAGTAATAGAGGGAAATGGGCAAGGTTGCTGTTCGCCTTTGCTTCTTTGCCCTTTTTTTTCTGGTTGCTTGATGCTCTTGGAGGGGGTTGACAAAAAGCGCAGCGAACTATCTTAGCCCTAAACCCTAATTTTATTTGCTTTTTTTCAGACAGGACAAAAAACATCCCGTTTATAAAAATAATTTGACGTTGATAATTATAAGTAGTTAACTATCAGACATCATGACAATGCCATAATTAATAGGAGGGCCGCTACTGGAATGTTTAAGGGCCTACCTTGTTATATATATATATCCTCAGCGGGCGGTCATGCTCGCAAATTGCAAGCTGGCCAAGTGGGCAACTTCTGGACTCTTTATCCTTAATTTACAAGTAGATTGGGGGGTTACAGAGGAGGTAGAAGACTGTTTGCTTCGCTTATAAGATCCTGCGCGCGGTGAGAATTCCTTCTTTCTTCTAAAAGTGTGAATAAAAACTGGACTTGAGAACACGAAGCACCAAGAGGATAAAGGAGAAATGAAATATAATATGATATGCCATTTAAATCGTAGGCCAACCAGTTGTATTTGGATTTTAGAGAGAAGGGCCTCACTCCCTAATGATGAAAGAAAAGAACTACCCATTACACGCTATACACACGGACAAGTAGATTCGGCTCGGAAAAAAAGAAACCAAGAACAGCCAGGAGAATCGAAAGTCGAACTTTTCCTTAGGCTGTGCTTTCCCATTCGGGGTTCTGTAGGGAGAATACCAAGTCAGATATGTGCATCAGTGCCTTTAAAGCTTAGGAGTTTATCTTTTGCTTACCTTTCGCAGAATCACGAGTCCCTCTAGAGTACTACTTAGGCTGATGTATTCTTCATCTTCCAACTCCGCCCTCTCCCCATACGATAGTAGCACGGGCGTGCTCTGCGTTTGCCATCCGGTGATAGTCTTGGGTTTACCTGCCTGGCCCACCACATCCACAGCCTGACCGACGCGGACGTTCACAGTAAGAGGCTTCAGATCTTCATCGAGCGTCACCAGGAATCGCGGGTACATGGCTGTGACAAGGAAGTAGAGGAGATAGTGCGAATCAGCGAGGATGAAATCTTTAGCGTCGATCATGGCTACAAGGACAGTAAGGAGGCCTGCGGCCGCCACTCGTGAGAGGACCTGGCGATCGGTATGGAAAGGGTTGACGGAAAGACTGCCCTTGCCCATATGCAGGAGACCCTGCGCAATGCGGACCATGAAGAGCGAGTTCTGATCACGGTGGTAGTAGCTTGCTAATTGTCTGAGGAGCTGCGCGAGCCGTGCATTATTTGTTCCGGCGCCAAGGAGACCCATAGCGAAAATGGAATTGATGGCGACATCGTTGTCAGTGTCATGACTATAACGGGAAAGCGTGTCGTAAACCTTCATTTGGGGGTTGCTAGGGCTGACCAATCCCATGGCGAGTGGGACCGCTTTCCTGATGTTTGCGGCGCCATAGTGCATAAGGTGCCCAAATTGCCGGAGGACCATATCTTGTCCAATATCTTCACCCATGGCGATGAGAGAGAGGCCTAGCACAGCGTATGATTGTACCAATTCCTCGCCTTTCTTCTCTTCCTTGTCTTCGATGACGTCGTTACAGATGTGCAGCAACTCTTGAAGCTTCAACACTGTACCGGTACCGGCCCACGCGCACACCGAAGCAAGGACAGAAGTAGGTTTCGCCATGGGATGGTCAATCGCCTTGAGGATATCCAAGATAACATCGACCTCTTCTTGTCGGCCAAAGTAAAGGAGTGCAAGACCAAGTGCCATAAATCGCGTCCATTTATCCTTCATCTGCCTTTGTCTCTCCTCATCCATCAAAGTGGTTGCAATAGCTTCACTAACTTGATGATTTGAAGAGCCGACGAAGATCATTCCCAGTGACACGGCTGCCATGGCCGATATCTGCATGTCGAGGGAAACATCCTCAACAATCGGCAGTAGAAGCTCCAAGAGCTCCTCCTTGCACGAGCCAGCATACGCTAGGCCGAGACCCATTATCGATGCCACTCGTACGGGAACACTCTTGGCCTCCGGGCCGACGGACTCACTGAGTAAAGCCATCGCGGGGTCCGCATCAAGTCTAACACCGGAATTGAGAATTCCGATACCAAGTAATCCTCCTGCCTTGATTTGCTCCTCTTCCAACAAAGTGAATTTGTCGATCTTATCCAAGCCTTCCTCCACATCCCACTGTAGCAGCATTCCCATAGACGCAGCGGTCGACAGCATGCCGTCATCTTTTGTTTTCCAGACCCAAGGGCCCTTATCGCCGTCGACCAGCATGAGTTTATCATTACCAAATCCAGCATTTGCGAAGGCGTTGACAAAGGCGCTTGCCAAGTTATGTCTTGCGGAATCCACATTAGTAAGCCCGGCTCCCCGGTTGCTTTCCAGATGTGTTTTGTAGATGTCCTCGGGCATCTTAGGATCTAAAATATTGAGCTCCTTCGCGAGAGCCTTGAAGTGGTTATGCAGCTGAATATTGTGGAGACACTCCGTTAGCTCTTGGCCTCCTTCTTCCTCCTCTTCTGGTGTCAATTCAAGCCATATCTGTTGTCTGGCAATAAGGAAGGCCATCTGCCTTCTGATCGCCTGGTCATTTGTTGCATTGAAATCTTTCTTGATAAGATCAAGATCGTTCAGCCGAATAGCAATAACGATAGCTTGAGTGAGCTTGTTATAAGTCACATAGATGTCATGCGCTGTCCGGAGGAACTGGTGGTCTTCGGGGTATGTGAGAAGGTTGACCATGCTGACCATATACAAGCAGACCCTCGAGTACGTATTCTCGTCGAGGAACTTGGGTATTTCCTCAATCATCTCAAGTTCACTCAAGAGGTCCACTGCATCTGCTTCGGCGTTGTGGGCTAGGAAGTAAGGAACGAGCGATAGTGAAAGATCGACCAAATCCTGCACATCCTTATCGTCCGTCAACCTATTCTGATATTCCTGGCCAATCTCCAGCGCAAGGTGGCGGATGTACTCATGGCCCCATGAACCCAGATCGTTCGATTTGGTAATGAGGCGATATTTGAGTGTTTCCAGCTTCTCTTCGTCACCGTATGTCATACCGAGGACTGATAGCATGTCCGCAAGAGAATCCTGTAGATGCATATATCGGTTAGGCCGAAAAAAAAAGTTCACCAGATCAAGGACATCCATTACGGAAAAAAACCCCGTACCTTATCATCGCCCGCGGGCCATTGTTCGTAAAGCGCAGTAAGCTCGTCATAATGCGGTCTAAGGAATTTAAGAGGTTTCGGCACAGCTGTCATAGAAGAGGTAGACGTCTTGATGAAGTTCTTAATCGCTTCCAGAGCAGGCTTATAAAGAGACGTATCGGGCTCCTAATATAATTAAAAACGCGCATCCGCGTGTCAGCTTGTTGATTTCGAAACGGGGTTTTAAATGAGCTCCAAAACCTGCCCGGCCCCGCCGCCGGTAAGTAGCAACTAACCTGTAACCTCTCAACGAGCATCTCAAGTTCATTTTTCAACTGTTGATCTTCTTCGCTAAGCTCTTCTGCAAAGTCCAATACCGGGTGTTTGTCAGCTTCCATTCGAAACAACATTAGGATTCCAACCTGACCAAGGCAAACAGAAGGGTATTCCTGCTCTCCCTTCCATACCTTCCTTAGGACCCTCCTCCTTCTTCCCATTCGTAAGAGGTTTCCCATCTTTCGCATCCTTATTCTCCCCATTTAATTCCCGGATATCGTCTACTTTTCCTTTGCCCTTGTCCGCCGCATTGGGCCGCTCATCCTTCGCCATGGCGCAGGGTCTATCTAGTATATCAAAAGGAAGAAAACGCGTTTCAGGGAATATAGCGGGTTAGCTTGTTTAAGGACCAAAGAGCGATGATAGGATTTGGAAGTTAGGAGGGGGATAGGCTTTGAGAGTCCGCTGGTGGTTATAAGGAAGGTTGGTGAGAAGGTGAGTTGAGAGCTTGAGAGCCTTGTCGGACGTTGCGTTGCCCAACCTTTCCAAACCGGAGCTCCAGCACGTAACTAGCAAAGAAGTTACATAAGCAATGCAAGTGGGTCACATGACGTGCGCAATTGCCGCTGCCTACAACTAGAAGTGTGCAGAGTTAGCTTTGCTAATAGGGGGATTATATATTAGGTATACGTGAGCAATTAAAGAAATTAGTCTAATAATATCCAGCAAGTGCCAGCAAATGCCCTTTGGAAGTATGTGCACTTTAGATTGATTGCAAAGGGAACAGATGATGTGAACAGAAAAAACTATGGACGGGAATACAAGACAACCACAAATTTATTGCCTATGCTATGAGCCACTTCTGAATTTCATATGAAAAGTTAAATAAATGAAGTAAATGAACAACCAAATAAATAAAATAATAATAGTAATAATGAACGAGGCATGCTGGCCAGCGATATATATTTTAGACAACCATAGTGGACAAGCCACGTATGGAATATGTTACAAACGAGTATACAGATTATCACTCAGCTCCCCTCCTCTCCTCGTCCTTTGAGCAGAATAGATCATCTGCCTTCATATCCTCGACCGCCTGCGGCTGCTGAGCGTGAGCATCACACCTGCCAATCCTCTCCCGGAATTCCTTCAAATACGCCTGCGTCCTCTCAACCAAGTCAGGGGAGGAGGTGTCTTTCCGCGAATACGGCAAGACATGCACAGGGGATATCTCCTTCGGTAATCCTGCTGGGAATAGATTTAGGAGGGTCGATATCGACGGAGATGTAGCTAGGGGTTTCTCGATGGAGCCTAAATCAACTTCCTGTGGTGGTGCTTCCATCGACGAGGAGCCGCCGATAAGCAGCTGGTCGGGTCCGCTGACCAGATGGTCATCGTCGGTTTTTTCTGGTTTTTTGAAGGTGGGATTAGACGTCTGTGGATCGGAGGCGTACTCCTCCGGTAAGCGGTATAGGTCGTTGTGAATAGTTGCTAGCACGGTGTGGGCGGTTGTGGTGGCGGGGAAAGAAGGATATAAGAGATAATAGCCCCGGGCACGGATTAGTTCAAGCATATATTCCATCCATGATGGGAACTTGTTCGAAATGAGATTG